TCATCACATGGCTTTTTCACTAATTGTGCACTCACGTCATTTTGTTCTGTGGGATCTTTTGCTTTTTGATCCAGTTTCAATTGCCCAGATGTTCATTTTATACAGTTAACTTTATACAAAGGGCATCCTTTGTTCCAGCAAACACATTGCGGTCATTGTTCTCAGCTGGGAACCTATTGCACAGCACTTCACCTGTTTCCTATGTAATCCACCATCCATCTCCCGACCTTTGTGCTGGTTTAATGTAAAATCGTTCACAGGGGAGACGAGGGCTGAGGAGAAATTATGCAAAAATGTTTCCTGGTCCCCAGCCTTGGATTGATTAAGGTCATGCTGCAGGGCTTCAGGATAAAAAGGCGATAAGAAATGGGAAAGCTCCTTCGTCTTGACCCTGTCGGTGTATAGTGGAATGGAAAATCTTGGTAGTACTTTGCAAGATTTGCTGTGGTGTTTCATAATGTAGTAATGCAGAACTAGGTGCCATCTAGAAGGAACTTTATAGACTTATAACCTAAAAAGATTTCATGTCAAGGCAGAGATGGTGTTGTCGGTCCCCAGTAAGGTAAACGTCAACTGCACAGCTTCTGAATGCACCCAGGGACCTGAAGATTGCCCAATTCAACAAGTTGCAGGACGGACAGATCTCTAACTGTAAGCGTCCCGTATAGGATAGCCCATTCGCTCCCTGTGAAGGCACGTGGGCATCGTGTAGACTGCTCATTTCACTTAACCTTTAGGGTAGTCATGAGAGCTTAGTTCATGAGCAGAATAAATTCCGTGGAAGGCTTTGAAAGAAGATTGTATAAATGCGCTGGCTGTTACTAGAAGATCTGTGGAAGATGAGCAGTGGAAAATTGGACAGGGAGTGAGCAGTATATCATGTAAGAAAGTTGTCACTTGGCAATATATCTCTGTGAAGGTTTTTAAATCTCTGTCTTGGCCGAAAGACACCTTCCCAATGACAGGAATCTAGCTGTCTTCAGCCTAAACATTCCTAGAAAGACGACCCGACAAATCGTCTGGGCTACTGGCAGGGACAGCATCACTGGCAACGTGCACAGTGTTTTAATGGCCAAGGCTGAGGCAGAAGATGAGCTACGCTCCCCAGCAGGCAAGAGGAGGAGGCCTGGAGAGGAGCTGGCATCAAGCAATGATTTTTTACATTTCTTTCATTCAGCCAGCTCTAAGACTGCAGGGCAAGATCTGCACAAGGTTGAATTTTGGTTTAACTTGCTGATAGGATTTGCTGTGGCTCCCCACTGTGGTGTTCTTCCTGTGCAGACCCTGGGGAGGGGAACTGCAGATACCAGCATCTGTTCTGCCTGCTGAGCTTGGCAAGGAGGAGGGAAAGGAGGTGAGAGGGAGGAAACCAGGAGGTCCCATGGGGTTCTCACCAATGATGGTGGTATTGCCCAGGGTGGATCAATGGAAAGCTGGAGTATTCTTGTTTTCAGAAGCACAATGTTTCCTGCGACTGGGTGTGTTGAAGGCAGTGAGCAGAGACAAACACTATGCCATGCTGCAGAAGCTGCGGCTTCCTAATTTGCCATTTCTCTCCTTGCAATCTATAGATCCCTTGGCAGAGCTGTCAGTTCCCTGTGCTGTGCACAATATGCCTTCCACTGAAAACAGCTGGAAAAATGCAGCATTTCTGGAGAGAAACCTTATTTCATTAAAAATATTTTTGCCTCCTATGCATCTCCCTATTTTTCCCAGGTCACCACAGGCTGGATCCAAGCAGCCACCTGTGTTCACTGTCACTCATGTGGAATCCCACAAACATCGCTCCCAGTCTGTAAGCGTTCGGTGGAAATGAGGCCAAGTGACCGAACCTCTGTACCCTTCCCACCAGCACAGCCAGCAGCATGACCTGGGAGGCCTTCCCATGCAGGATTTATATCTCAGTCTGTCTTGGTGACTGACAGCAGCAACAAGGAGCTCTCTGGGGCAGAGCACAGGGAGGGAGAGCGTGGGGAATGCTGTCTCCTGGGACAAGCTCCAGTCTGCTCCAGGGAATGTGCTAGTTTTCACTCCTTTGTAGTCCTTTATCTCAGCCCTTCGACCTTCAGCTCTGAGGTATTATCTGCCTTAGCCAGAAAGGCAGACTGTGGAATTAACCACTGAAATGCTGACTGTTTCTGAACTAATTCCTGAAAGTATAAACATTACGGATGCAACTTACTTGAATAGTTTAGGAAGTCAGTGGACTTCTTCGGTTTGACAAGTACTGATTTAGAATATTAGGGAAAAATATTTCTACTGAATAGGTGACTTTGTGAAGTACAGCAGTTTTCAAACTTTGTATGCACCTAAGAAGTTCCCAGGGCATGCAGAGACCTCCTGTAAGAACATCTCCTGGGTGCATTGCCATACAGTGTACGTGAACTTGTTTTTCTTCATCATCTTTTTGTCCTTACCTGGACTCAGTTATTTATCTCCAGAGCACAGGCAGAAAGTCATTGGTCTCATGCTTTCCGTGGGGTCCCTACTATCATGGTAACTCCTAAATTTTTGACTTTACAGAGTATTATGCAAACTCTTACAAAAAAGAAAAATAAATAAAAATAAAAATCCTGGGGGAGTGAGATCAATGTATTCGCTGCTCCACTCCTGACTTCTCTGGGTGAGTTTGGGCATGTCATTTAACCTGCATGCCACTTTTCCTGTTTGCAGAATGAGCTAACAATACATCAGTGGGCCATCGTAGCTATTAATGAGTTATAAATATGCTTATGTACATGTGTGTCTGGTTTGGCAGGATCAGCTTCTCTGTCTTTGGTGCTTGACAAATAGTACAATGCAAGGAAAAAAAATATTTTCCTTACTGGGAGTGAGTGAGCAGCAGTAAGTATGTAGAAGTAGATTTTTCTTTGCAGAATACTCCCGCTTAATCAGTTTGGTGTTCACAGAGTTAATTTGCTCATGCCTTCAGATTGTTTTGTTTCCAGGGATTCTAAACCCTTGCCTCCAGCTGTTCATTTCCATTGAAGGAGGATGATCTTTATCTGTCTAAACTAGTTAAAACCTGCTCCACTACCCAACAGCCTTTTTGGAGACAGCCCAATAAAGCTGAGTGCAGTGGCTATGACACCAAGAGCCTCCTGGACATCATAAATTCCAAGCCCTGTTTTTTTTCTGACCTCTCGCTGTTGGAACACCACTCCTGCTTTAATGAGACTCTTCGCTTCTTCCACAGCTCCATATATCCACTGCCCAAAATGGGCGATGGTATTTGCATTGTAAGTGGCCAGTGGAGAATCCCTTTTAGACAAATTTACCACTTCAATATTATCCGATTAAGCCTTCACACAACCTCAAAGGTACCATTCAAGTAACTGGAGCACTTGTAGACTTGCACTTAGACTCTGCTCAGTGTACATGTTACTTGGGATATTTTAGTTGAAGCACGTTTTTAAAATGCGCTCTGTTTAAAGCTTGCTGTGACATGGTGGGACTTGTAATACCTTCAGGGCCACTTCATCTTCAAACACGAGATGTGAAAGTTTTTGTCTTGAGCAGATTAGATGCAGATTTGTTAACCTGATAAGACAGCCGCTAGATGTACCAAAGAACCTTTCCTGTGACGAAATTCAGCGCCTTGTATACACCAGATGAGGATGCTGTCTACACAAGAGGGAATGGCAAAAAAGAAAAAATTTCTGTTGCTGGTAATGTCACTACCGAGACCATAACTAGAATGGTAAAATGTTATTACTATAGAAACACTGTCTCTTGTTGCAGGGGTTTTTAACAGCACGTTATTTTGGCCCGTGCTGAACATGGGTATGTAATACAGTGTTCAACAACCTAATGGTCAGTTTGTACTTCAGGCTCCTCCTTTTACTACAACTACTATTAACAGGGGGAAAATCTGTGGCCAGAAGGCCTCTCACGAAAACCCAGGCTGAGCTTTATTTTGGAATGTGCCAAGGAGACATTTTCCTGTTGTTCTGTTGCAGATGTTAGAGTTCTTGCTGTCTTGGGAGTCAGCAAGGCACTAAGAGTGTTGGGAAGTGGCGCCGCTGCTCACTGAAGCAAACAGCTGGATCAGTTCAGAGTCCAACCTGGTGTGTCTGTGTGAGAAGGCTGTGTAGTCATTTTTGCTAAACCACCTCACAGCAATTATCAGACTATCAGAGGACGGAAAAGGTCTGAGAAAAAGACCAGTTTAACATGTCATCATTGGTCTTTAGCAGCTGCACGTTATGCTGCTGTTACTAATAACCTAACTTTGCAAGCAGTGTTTTCTTGGCATCATTCATACATAATTACTGGGGGGGTCAAATTCAGCTCTCAGTTGTGTAAATACGGAATAATTCTGTTGGCTTCCTGGTGTTATTAGTGTAGAAACACATGTAGGACCATGAGCATTTGGCTCATGGTCCCTGCCCCTAGGAGCTTGCAATCTGAAATACCCAGGCAGAGTTTTCAGTCACAGATGAGTTGGTATGCACAGATTAAAAAAAAAAAAAAAGATGAAAAACTACTATCAAATCCATGCAATGTAATTACTGCTATGTTGTCCTTTGGTTGAGGTTAATGGATTATTCCTGTACAAAGGAGTAGCACTTTGATTGTTACTTTTCATATGTAATTCACCAGTAGATTACAATTGGAAAGTCTCTGGGGTAAATGAGTTTTGAAAGGTCTTTTAAATAAAGATCTAGTAGTTATTTCTTTGTGTATATAGAGAGAAATTTGACAGCAATGAACAGAGAACAGGAATTATTGAACATAATAGGTGTTGCTTGGGGTAAAGCAGTTAGAAAGTCTACCATAATGGTACGAGAGAGCTTCTATGAGAAGGGTGTTCTCTGTTGGTTCACTTCCAACCCCAGCAGTATACAAGCTTGTAAGACTCTTAAGTAAGGTTTGGTGGTTTTATATGGTAAATAAGTTTTTCTTGATTTCAGTCTCTGATAAGAGCATCTCTCTTTTCTGGCATAGTCTTTGTAAAGTTCTCAGGAATTGAGTGACTAATTGCACTTCTCATTTTTTAGGGATCTTCCAGATAATCCTTCTGTTGAATGGGACACACAGCTCCTTGCTGCCTTTGTGTTGAAGCATATAGAAGACAATAACATCAACCTGGTAATGTGAAATTTCCTTCTGCATGGGCAGTTTCCACAGTACTTTTGAGCTAGTGTTCTAGGCTTTCCCTTTACTCTGAAAGCTTTCTTTGAAGTCTTCAAAGTTAAGGTTTTGCTTCTTTGCTTTAGTAACTCCTCAAATGTTTTCAACATTTTAAAGCAGTATTTTGCCACTGTTGCTAGCTTTTGATGATGAAGAAAGTCTGTCTGGGAATAAGGCTTAGGTTTAGGCTTAGATTTGAAGTGCATTGATAGCCATTTATTAGAAGGCTAGTTTAGCAGGCATACCGGTCAGGATTGAAGGGTGTTGAACCACAGTTCCTAGGAATAGTTTTTTCTCCACGGAACAGGAAAAAGGTACGGAAAAAGTTGTGCTCCATTATTTTCTGTTGAACCTTGCTGTGATGCAAGTCGCTGTCACACACTGATCAGCAAAATCACAAAACCCTTAAAGCCTTGCAGCAATTTACAAAACAAGAAGCCACATCTCCTGTAGCATGAAAACCCCAAAAGAAAGAAAAACAGCAACATGCGTCCAATTCTGTATTGATTCTATGTTTAATTTTCCATGAAATACATTGCTGTGCACAGAGAAAAATCCAGTTTTCCTGGAGTCCTTTTGTGCCTTTTGATCCAATGAATAGAAAAGTTTTAATCTGATCTGAAAGCTCCTAACACAAGAGGATTTGTATTGCATGTTTGTGACTCTCCAGGGCACTAGGACAAGTGCACCAGAATCCCAGCAGAAACTCTGAAAACACTCAAACTTTCTCTAGATGGTTAGAGAGGGTTAGATCTTTGCCTCAGAGGAAATTAAACTCAAGCTGTTTGTGCTGGAGAAGGCAGGAGTCTGGCACTTACATAGCATGAGCTGTAAACTCCAGTGTGGGGGTTTCAAAGTAAGAAACATGCACAACCACTAGTGCTCACCCTGCTGTGCTGCTGGTGGAGGGTGTAGCTTTAGTAATGAGGAGCACTGTGGCAGGCCCATTGCATTCCCTCAGCAGTTCCCTGAGCAGCAGTGAGGACAAATTGCTGTAGCAGAACATGTCAGCAGCATCAGTGGCCCCTGAAGCATCTTCATGGGAATGATGGTAATGAAGCACTCTGTAAACTTGCATTATTTTGTCACAAATAATCACGCAGGTCTCAGGTGTCTGCTGTAATACCTTTCAGGAAGGAACAGACCTAGTTTGCCAAGAATGGAAAGCAAGCACCTAATTGCCTGTGTCCAACATTCAGCATTTTAAAACTTCAGAACTTGTTGTTTGCCAGTCTTTGAGCATCTCTGCTGTTCTGAAACAATGGGCTTGTCTTGAAGGGTAAACTGAGTCTATTTTTCAGTAATGTTGAAATTGATAGAATTAACTTAAAACATTAACAGAACCTTGTTAAAATGTAAGTTAACAGAGCTTCAAACCCACCAAGCTAACAGTGGAGTTCACATGATTGGAAGACATACATTGTCTTAGCTATCCCAATGGAACAACTTTCCCCAGCTCTCCCTATAGTCTTATCGTAGACAATGATATCTTTTATTTACAGAAACACGTGTGTCATCTGGCAGTGGAGAAGCAGGCTGTAATTCCGACGTGTCCGAAAGGAAAGATTGCAAGGCATGGAGTTACACCATGCTATGCATATTTTTGTTCCATTGCATAGTTACTCATTTCCTCAATTGCCCTGGAAGTCCAAGAGTAACTCAATCTTTTTGAGAGCTACAGGGACAGATTTCATCCAAGCTGTATATTAAATAGTGCAGGCACAGAAACTAATGGTTGGTGTACTCAATGCCAAAACTAATTTATAGACCTTGGAAATGATTTCCTGCCTGCTGTATTTCTAAGCAAAAGCCAGTGGTACCAGGAGAGGCAGCCAAGGATGTCTCAGTCCGTATTAGAAAGTATTTGGTGTGTAAAAAACAAGTTATATAGTACAGTGCGGGCCCCAGGCAGCCTCTAGTCTATGAAATTCTACTCTTCAGGATCTCAGGTTTGATGATAGCAGAGCTTAGGTTAGGAGGTAACATACAGACTGTGTTTGGGGCAGATGCAGTGCCAAGACCAGCATTCAGCAATACTGCATTCTTATAAGATGCCAACCACTACAGACTGATGGAAACATCCATTCAGCTGCTTGTGGAAGAGTCCCATTGTCTTTGGTCAGCTCCAAATCATTCAAGAAAGTCAGACTTTTCTACAAATGGCATCCAAGTAGGAGCTGAGAGGGTGAGTTCAGCTTTGATGTTTGGATCTTGAACTCCACACTCCCCTAAAATTCAGGAGCATTGAATGTTTGATGTTTATACACAGTTTTCAGTGCTTTTACAGAACACTGGATATGCAGTGAAGCATGTGGAGTTTGCCTAGTGAAGGCAGAAAAGCTGGGACAGACTTTGGTATCCCTTTTCCTCCCTTCTTCACCTATGCTGCAGTCTCCTGAAGTGTGCTTTAGGATTTGTGAGTGGAAGACCCCTCGAACCTTTTGTTCTAAGAATCGATATGTGGATTAGACTTTCGCTGTTCAAATACAACAGACCTTGGATTGTTGATAGCGTTTGATTATTTTTTTTTCTGTCATCCAATTGTCCATTCTTTTTAATCTTTAGCTTCTCTAGCAATAAGAAACATCTCCAAAAAAACACCCTCACAATCAAGGATCAAAGGGAGCTTGAATGTCACTGGTTTCTGCAGTGTAAATTGGGACTATGACATGACGCTCAGAGGAAAGACATTAGAAACGGAGCTTCTTGCTGTAGCATTTTATGAGATGGCCCTCTTTGAAAAAGAAAGAGACATTACTATCCCCACCAGTGTACTTGAGCAGATGTGTTCTCTGTTTGAAGCACTAGATGATGCCAGAAAGAGTGAGGGAGACCCACAGCTTTGAGTGCTTTTCTTCTCCAATACACATGGTATGTAGAGGGAGCATGGACTACAGACCTCTCAGGAGTTTTCTCTTCTGCTTGCAATTGAGTAATTTCCTCTGTGCTCTCCCCCCTCCGGAAGGGATTTGTGGACCTGTTTGTCTTGGCTGCTGCTCTAGTTTCCACTAGTGAAAGCTCTATTTCCTGAATACCAAGGTCACCCAGAAGAAAACCCAGCAACACCAATGGCAGCAGCTCCCATTTCAGAACAGGTGTGGGGAGGGAACTCCCTCTTGCCCTGAAGATTTCATTGAGCAATAATTTCCACATCAAGTGTATTTCCTATCCTAGCCTTTTGCTCCCAGAACTTGCTAAGCCTGTTTTTAACCCAGACAGTTTCAAGATGTTCAGGTTTTTTCATCCTGCCCTGATTGTTTGCTTGATTTCCTCAGCAGCCTGGTTCAGGTTAAGTGTTCAAAGCAAGCACACCAGCTAGCTGCACCACGTGGAAGAAGCAAATGCTCCCATGTGAAAATATCTTTAGCATGTGAGAAAGAAATTCAGATTTGTTATCAATGAAATTAATCCCTGAAGCCAGAGGAATATATTTCCATGTGATTGCTGCCTGCTTTAAGTCTTGCTTAAGGAGCCTGCTTTAAGGAGCACCACAGTGATGCTGCGGAATCGATGCCCTCTTTAGACCACAGACCTAGAAGCTCCACATAGGTGGGACAACTCGGTCAGGGTCAGCCTGAAGGATCTAAGGGCAAGGGCCAGTGTTTCAAAGATGACCTCTCTGCAGGTAAAGTGAATGCCACTGTGGCCAGGTCAGTGTGCAGGTAATTGTGCGCACAGGTTTGTATACAGAGGAGGTAGGCTATTCAGTTGCAAATGTCCTAACAGTAAATTAGACAACATCATTTGAAAATTAACTTCATGCGATCCCTTTAGTTGGTTCAGCTGTTATATAACTGCAGCAGCACTAAGAACAGCAGCTCCTATTTCAAAACAGATGTGGAGAAGGAAAACCTCCAAAGGTGTTTCTGAACAGATAATTTCCACATCAAGAATATTTACTAACTCAGCTTCGTGCTCCCAACACAAAGTTTCCTAACCCAAAAATTGGCCTGAGCCAGTTTTGTCAAAACAGCGTTCGGCTTATTTCATCTGCTCACTGCAGTCTCTTATCTTGGTCTTTGTTTTGTTCTCTCATGTTCCCCATAGAAGAGAAAATGTGTACTTTGGCTTGCCTTGAGTTTTTAGCTTGGTTTCCCAAGGAAACAAGAGTACTGCAATTGTATTTGTGTGTGTGCATGTGCATGTTTCAAAAGACTTAAGAGCCCATTAGCCAATTTCAACCATGTTTGACAGCAGAGTAGTAATCTCAAAGATGTTATATTTGTACAGGTTAAATGGACATAAATGGTCAGGCAGAAGAGACAAAACCTCTCTTTGTCCCTGTTTAGTTAAAAGGTTTAGTGCGAGCCCAACCCCGAGCAGACTCACGCTGTTAATCACCTGCTCAGGAATTTATTCTGCCGGCGGTGAGATGAATACATTGCCATTTTAGGAGAGTGCCACTCTAGGTAGAAGTGACTTCAAGGATGTCTTTTCTTATCTGTAAAATACACGGTGCTATGCTGGCTCCCTGAACTGTGCAGAATTTAATAACATCTTTCCCAGATGAGTTGCTCAGAAAGCTGATAATCCTAGGGAGGCCTGAGTACCATGCCAGAGCATGCAGTCCCTGCAGTGAGCCTCTCAGGTAATGTGCAAAAAAAGCAGCCAAAGCAGAAGACGTAATTTTTCTTATAAAGGGGATGACCAGGAAATGCTTCTTAGAACCTGAACAAAACCACTTTGGGTCCCCTGACTTCCTGCTGGTAATGAATAACCCTGCTGCTGGGTAGCAACATTGCTACAGCCACTGAGCAAAGTGGAAAGTCTAACTGCGGACTTGTACTGGGTGGGTGGGTTTATAAGCAGGTTTGTCTGGAGTTTTTGTTTTTTGAAGTGTTTCTTATCACCGTCTCTGTGTTTCCTCTCCCTCTTTACACAATATCTCCTGTGTTTGAGGGCCTCTCCTGTTGGAGGGTGGAGTAGAAAGTTGCAGGACGGGCAGGGTAGCTTTTGATCTTCCCTTGATCTTTAACCCAGTACTTCAGGCCCTGCTTAAAGAATAGATTTTGAGAAGGGAGCTGTGGTGACTAAGCAAGGCAATAGCATTTCCTTCCCTGAAGAGAGAACAAGCTGGCAAGGAAGCAGATATTGACTGAAATGTAGGGAGGCTGTAATTTCTTCCTGGTCACAGGGAAGGGAGCTGTGAAGAACTCTGCTGCTTGGCCTCTTGCACAGTGAAAACCTAACTTTAGGCTGTTCACCATCTGGAAAGCATACAAGTAGCACCACAAATACACTGCCTGCTCTACACTCTGTGCTGCCAGTTTGTCTTCTGGGTTATTTTAGATACTCTCTTCACAATTCTGGGCAGAGTGAGCACTTAGGGTGGATGCTTCACCCCTAACACGTTACTGGTAGGTTTGAGGGCAGGGAGCCAAGGGTGCTCTGTGCTTTGGACAGTGACTTGTTAATGCTGCATTCACACATTACTTCTGCGTTATGAAGTGTCCGTTTCTCGCTGCCGAGAAGCAAAAAAACCAACACAACCTTCTCATTCAGCTAACAGCCTGACTTGGCTGTACAAAAAGTGTAGTCAGACAATTCTTTAAAAAGGCTTCTTCTCATATCAGATTATTTTATCACTATGTTATCCTGTGATGAAACCTCGTTACAATCAGGACAATAATACAAAATTGTGGTGTTGTTGTTAGAGCAATATGTCCTGGCTCATAACACAGCAAACTATAGCCTTCACCTTGCAATCCACAGGCATTCTGGTATGTTCTCAGATCCAAAAGTGATTCATGGGAGCTGGACCATTTGGGTCAAGACTCTGAAAGTAGCTGAAAGTAGCCTTTGGACCATAGGTAACAAGTGCATCCTGCCACTGGGAACATGATACTTCTCCTTTTCCTGTTGTTTAAGCTCTTAGACTAGGTAGTCATTGGTTCCCAAGTGTCTTCACTGACTTGTTTAGTTGTGTTTCTATAGCATGAGTTCACACACAAGGCTTTGTTGTGCAACACAAAAACAACTCTCTGGAGACAATGGGCTGGGGCAGTGCTGCTTTAGATGTTGAAGTTGGTTACTGTGCTGTCTCTTTCTTCAAAATGTTTATTGTTTCTGTGGTTTTGTTTTGCAGGTGGTAAGCTTTGATGCAGGAGGAGTGAGTGGTCATGCTAACCACATTTCTCTTTACACTGCTTTAAGGTACAGTGTTCTGCATGTTTTTGTTGGAGGCCTCGCTGTAGTGTTACAGCAAGTGAACGGGGTGTTTGTGTGTCAGCAGATAATGACTAGCTAGAGACAACAGAAGTTTTAACTTTGTTGTTACACCTGAGTTCCAGGCCATGGGACATGATACTATTTGGAGGAATTCCCACAGTGTTGTAAATGACCCACAGCATCCTTTATTAATCCACCTGCTGGTGCTTTGCTAGTCTTCCTTTCCTTGGGGCCTCTTTTTGCTCTTCTTTTTCTTGATCCCAGTGATCCACCAGGACCTCCTGATTCCTAGCACTGTGTAGTGGATGCAATTCCACTAAAATATGTAACAGATAACTTTTCATTTCTGGTTTGAGTAGAGTGTGTGAATAGCTGATGCCAGAGCTGGGGCTCGTTGGTGGATTTTGAAGAGGTCTGCACCATTGTTCCAGAGGATGTTGCCATCCCATCTGGGTATCTGCATTTACCACTTTGGGCCAAGGACATTGCTCTTTCCCTAGAACAGTTCCTATTTACTGTTCCTTGTAAGTCAATTGATTGTTTTACCGCTTTATTCTTTAAATTCGGAGAGCCTCTGTCTCTGTGCTGTGATGTAGGAAGGATGCTAGACTAAAATCTCCTGTATTAAAATTACCCAAATGTTTCCTGACAAGACAACTGTATTTTAACTGTCTGTTCATTCAGACTTTATTGTGTCCTAGAGAGATCTCCCCCAGAGCTGCCCCTGCCTTTTCCAGGTATGAGAGGAACTCTTTGCAAGTATATCTTGTATTTTTAGCACACATTTGTTTTCTGAATCATCTGTGCAATTCAAATAACTCTGGCTCTCCAACATCACAGTCATTTGCCTTTGTCACTTGCCTGACGAAAGCAGCAGTGCCATATAACCCTTATGTGACCCACCGAGCTCCTCTGGGAAGATGCTGAGAGTTTTTGATCCTATCCAATGCCTAGAACTCAGTGTTAGAGGAGATCATGTCCTTTTCCATCAACTCCTGAAATATCCTAACAGAAAGAAAGGAGGTGAAGTTAAAGCAAACGGTGTGTTTGTTTGCATTAAGCAGGGAGATGCTTTGCAGCACAATGTTGTTTGAGGAGCAACTGAAGGACAAAGATTGATGGCCAGTGCTCATGCTGTTGGCACAGAGGGAGGGCAGAGCTTCCAGCTGCCTGAACCTCAGTGTTTGCTTTTCAGTCTTCATACGGCCAGCAAACAGGAATAGAGGAAAGACTGTGAGGTGTTCCCCTACATCCTGAAGAGATACAGGGAAAACAAGCTAGCAGCTGAACTGTGTAGGCAGTGTTTAGGAAGAGCTCTCGATTTTGATTCCAGCTCTTCTGCTGTCTTGCTTTGTAGCTGTGCAGAAATCACTTTCCCACCTTCGCGCTTTAGGTTTCCTGAGCGAGCACCGGGGCTATTAACCTTTTTCTTGTTACTAGGAAGTATTCATTATCTGCAAGCACCTTGAGCTCAGATCTTTGTATTAGTCCGTAGTCTACAGCAGAATATTGTCCTGGGCAGATGAGATGTCTGCTGATAATGGCCACTGGGGTATAAGCAGCTCTCAGTAATTAAGGACTGGTTTGTGTCTTGTCTCTTTTCCGGTCCTGAATCAGCAGAAATAAGCATGGCAGCCCAGTCATTTGTGTTTGGCAGGGGTGATGCTGTGGCCACTGAAAGGTTAAGTTTATTTTTAGTGGCTTGCTTGCTCTCATTATTTTTCAGTTTGTGTCATGGAGGAAGTAGAGCGTGACTGTATCGCTCCTGATTTTCAGTACCCTGATGAATTCTCGTGTATCAGCTAGTGCAGGCAGCACTGGGAGCATATGCCGAGGCTTCTCACATACCTCCCTGCTAGCAGGGCTTTGCAAAACAGTGCTTGCTGCCCCCAGGGCCCCAGTGCTACATGGCAAGAAAAAGGCAAATGAACTCTTCCCTCCCGGTATCATGTGCAATGTATTTATTAACCATCTTTAAACAAGGTCTGCAGGGTTCTGCCTCCACTGTGGTTGTAAGTCCACTGTGGTTGTAAGTGGAAAGGGTGAAGCAGAGGGCTGGTGCCGCGATCCCCAGGTCTTTGGGATGCTCCCAGTCTAGGGAGGATCTGCCTTATGCCCACTAAGAGGTTTCTTGCTGCAGAAGCAGAGGTACAACAGGACATATCCAACCTATAAGTCCTTGCTTCAGGAGATAGAAAGTATTGAACAGCATCAAGGAACAAAACAGTTCAGGAAATGGTCATAACTGAGCAGATGGCTTGGCATTATCCGCTAAGGGTGTAAATATCCTTCCTAGGGTCTGGGACAGAGGCTGCGTTTAGAGGAGCAGGAACTACTTGGAAGCAGTGTGCCTTACACTTGCACCAAACATCCTCTTGACACCTTGTGGGGAGTCCCAACTGCTGTTACGTGCCTAGGCTTCAGATCTGTGCCATGCCAGAGTTCGAGGGTGGATTTATTCCTTTGCAAGGGAAAAATAAGGGGAAAAAAAAAACAAAAACAAAAACAAAGGAGGATTGCTGAGGAACAGAGATCTCTATTTGATTTAATTCTCCCCTGGGAGTATTTCAGTTCTGCCTCCCAGACTGGAAAACAAAACAAAACAAAACACTACAGCAAAGAAGGGAGAATTGGACACAGGCCTCTAGCTCCGTTTCTTTCCCCGTGGCCTTGACTTGGCAACATCATTCCCTTATCCCCACAATAGGAGCTTCCCTATGGCCAAGAGAGGCTGGACCCTGTACACACACCCACAAGGAAGAGAAGGTCTCCAGTGACATCACCATCACTTAGCTCCCTTTCTCAGCATTGGGTCAGTAGTGAGGCACTACGATAACAAGTGTGGTAAATACTACGTGACAGGAATGTTTGACAACCTCTCTTTCCTGCTATTTGAAATGACAGCGTTTGCACTGACATCACATGGAATATCAAGAAGTTTTAGTTCTGCACGTCATTGCATGTTTTGATTTTATACAAGCCCTCTTGTCCAGTAGCCTAGCAAAAGGAGGGCTGTTGATTTTGTTGTTGGCTTGCTTAAGGTGGAGAAGAATGGTCTTTGTGAGGGGGAGGCAGGACTGTACCACTTGTTTTCTTCAGCAAGCAATCAAATCCATTTCATCCCAGCTAGAACAGTAAAGAATAGTCCTTGTCTGCTTAGGGCAGAGCAAACTGAGTGGAAAATAGGAGGTGCTATATTTAACCACTGTGCATTATGTTGTTATAGCAACTGCATCCATAAAACTTATATCAACGATGCCGTATAAAAAGCTACATCAAAGAATCATTAGCTGAGCCTATTCTCGTCAACTCCATTTGGAAAAACACCTCTCAGTCCTGCAGGATGTTTCTTACCATCCGTCAGCTCAGTGGTAGGTTGTAAATGAGACTGTGCAGAGGTGATATTTGTGAGCTTAGTACTTTATCTCTCTGGAGTTGATTATGATGCAGCTTGAGTGCCACTGATGCCTTTTTGCACTTAGGTGTGACAGCCTGACTTTTGAACGCCCCATTTATGAATGCCACGGGACATGGCGTTGTGCAGGTGGGTTGCACCAGGGCTCCTTGAAAGAGGAGGATTGATTAAATGCCAGTTACGTGTAAGTACATCAAAATGAACAGTGCAGTGTCCAGAGAAATCCCACAGACTCAGTGGGTACAGCTCTCAAAAGCCAGCAACTGGCTTACATCCCTACAAAGCACAGTTCTGCTCGTATTGAGTCTCCAAGGTCAGGTCTTTAAGGACACATTGAGCAAGAAGCAAGCTGTTTCTTCAATGATTAGCGTGATGATAGTGAATGGGACACCATCTACCATTTTTATTGGTTAGCTTCTTACAGTGCAGGGCTAGAATGGAACTCTGCTCTCTCGCTCCTTTCAAGCATCTGTAGCCCACACATTTCAAATCAGTGACATCTCATTTATGTTTTCAAAGCAGGCTGCAGTCTTGCATTTCCCTTGTGTTTTCCCAGCAAATCCTTTTTCCAAACTGGCTATTATTTGTTCCACCTTGGAAAAGGATTTCCCATGTTCCTGGTGTGTGTGTTTGGGATTGTTCAGGCCCTGACAGAGTTCTATGGTCCCTGCAAAATAAAGAGCAGTGTTGAAGAAATAACAGCTTCCAGTATCATATGCTTCTGTTTGTCCTTTGACAGTCCAGCTCACTCCTGGTGTTTGTTTTAATGGTCTTAATTGTCTTAAGTAATAGGGGAGTTTATGAATGGTGGCTGGGATTGCACCCACACTGTGCTCATGAGGTCAAGAAATGTCCTACTCTTTTTACCATCTGATTCTCTGTCCTTTCCCTTTGTGTGACTGCCCCATGCCTGGCATACATTCTGTTGGTATCTAGCTGGGTATTTCCTCCTAGATTTTATCTCATTCCTTTGTCCCTGCTCCCTCCTTCCTTAATTTGACTAAGCTCATTCACCCCAGTGCCCTTCAGTGATCTTGTTGAGAGCCGTTAGGATAAAGTTGAGCGCAGGGCATCCTATTGTTGGTAGTCAGCAGGGATTCCCCCCCCCAAGAAGTATTTTTTTCCAAAGAAACAGCCTCAAGGAATGCCCTTCCCAGCATCACTAGGCTGCTAGCAGCATGACAGGAGCAGTGACACTGCACATTCTTCTCCCAGACAGTGCAGAGACCAAAGCACAGAGCCAAAGAGAAGCTCTGTCAGCTGGAAAATCTCTGAATCGCCACCTTTTTTTTTCTGACTGGCAGAACCATATTTTGCCGCTGCAGCACGCATGAGTACGGAGTGCCTGAACAGTGTTTAAAAATCTGCATGTTGTTACTTGGTGTATTTCAGGGTGCACGGAAAGGCAGCCAGAAAGTCCGGTTAGGGCGGGGGGAGGCGTTCCAGATAGTAAACACTCAACATCTGGCAAGTATATCCCTCTCATGTCTCAGAGATTCCTAGGAGACTGACTGTTCTTCCTCTTTCACATCTGTTCCATCAGATTGATTGGGCAGATTAGAGGTTAGGATCCTAAACTGAGCCCCAAGATATCTTTGAGATTGTCCATTCTTTTGCCATGCTTTTGAAAACTGCATTTCCCCACTGTTGTACAGCATCCAGCACAGCACAGTGAAGGTTTTTGCCTTTGGCACGGGAGACTAATTGGAGAGTGAAGTCATTGATTTCAGTGAACAATTTCTCCCTGAAGAGAACATCACCAAAACTGCAGTCCACCCACCAGGGCGTCAGTCCTACTCCTACCCCAGAGGAGTTCTGCATTCGCCAGCACCGAGGTCTCAGCTCCATCTTGACTTGTTCCTTCTTGCCATCACGGGGAGGTAGCAGTGGTCTGTACTTGGGAGCTAGCCACGCGCTTTGCTCACAGCTTTCCTTGAGGTTGACTGAATAAAGAGGGAATGTGGGAGCTGACTCAGCTCTGCAGTTTGCAGGAGGGGGGTCGATGGACCGTTGCCGTTTTTCTACTGGGCAGACGCAGGTAATAGCTATGGAGAGCAATAGCTTTCAGATAGCTGCTGGTCCTGGGGGAGGGAGCTGGGGCTGAGTCCTTGCAATGCAGAGGTGGTGGGTGCCATTACAGTTCTCACTGCCTCTTAGAGTTCATTGCAGAGGGTCTCAGTTCCCTTCAGACATGGGTCTGAAACCTCCTACAGGTGTAATAAAGGGGGTGCAGTGCGAGGCGTCCTGTAGTTGGCTGGCCTCTAGCACTTGGTGGGTGGGTGGGAACAAGCCACCTTAGATCACTGTGTATTTGAAAAGAAAAACAATTTAGAAAAGGTCTGTCTGGAAAAAAAAAAAAAAAAAAAAAAGGAAAAAGCGCCAAAAAAAGAGCCTGTTTGTGTTTGACTTGTCGAGATTTTATGCCAAACTCTTTCATTTCACCCAAACCACAGCAAGTCCAATCCATAAAACAACATTCCCAAAATGGCAACAACAGACAGCTGCAACCTCTCCCCTACTTGGAAGTGTCCCATGGAGACAGCTCCAGCAGGGTGGAGATGGGAGCAAGAGATTGATTTGGGAGAGGATTGGCTAGTTTTATGAATGTGTGCAGGAGGAAGAGTTTTGTGTTGTGCTCTCTCTCTCTCGCTCTCTCTCTGCAACCACAGTTCGTTGCCATCTCTAGCCTGAGAAATACAGATGAGCAAGGCTGCAATTCCTCTGCATCTGGGTGGAGCCCATTCCCAGACCTCTGCACGGAGCCTTGCTGAGTACTGAAGCATTTGGCTCAGGACTAAAAGGATAAGGAGAGAATCAGAATTTCTCTGTGCCTATTCTTCCAGATCAGCGTCATGTCTGCCTGGCTGTAGCATTACGGATCTTTCAGTAACCAAATAGGTTGTGTCTCTCTGAATCTTTATAGGAACACAAGCTCCTTAATTTTCTGCTGGATAAAAACTTTCCTTCTGTTGAAGATACCCTCTACTCCTGCTGAAACTTTTCCATACAGACTGGATCTCTCTTTGTTTCTGTTTCTAGTGGCCAGGGATAGTTATTAATAATTCACTCTTCGAGCAGCTCTTCACAGCCTTTCATTTGTTGTCCATCAGTGCTTTCAAGGTCCTTCTATAGAACAGGTACTAGGACTTGGGATAGTTAGCCCAATTTCTCAACCTCTCACTGCTTTCTCTCTTCAAGGTTGTTCTAAAAGTTCCCACCCTGCTAGCTTTACCAAGTGCTGAATCACCTCTTTGGGTGGCCACAGCCTCGCTGGGGGAAAGAAGCCTCGAGCAGAAGAGAAGAGCTGACATTAATGGAGATACTTAAACGTTTCCCTGAAAAATTGCTGGCAATGTCTGAACAGTAGGGTTTGGGTAGTGGGGTAGAAGGTGCCCAAGTCAGTGTTACAAGGCCATTGTTTAGTATGAAATGGTATTGCTTGCAGATCTTTGGCTCTGGAGAAGGAGGGAGCATCATCAGGAGAATCTATTTAAGGCATATGTCTTCTGATTGCTGTTTGAGTTCTGTCATGACCTGCATTTCTGGCTTGACTTTTGCTTTGAATTGCTTTGGGTATTCATTACTCAGTGCTTCCTATTTTGTCTACGCCTGTGTAGCTAATCCTTTTCCTTGAACTTAACCAATAGCCAGAGATAATCCTAGTTTGAAAGTGACTAGAGAAACATAACAGTTTGCATATAATGTATGTTTTATCCTGGTTGATTTACACATGAACTGTCACATTGTCCTTCGTTAAATACACCACTATAAGATGATAACAATCTTTTTAAATATTACACAGGGTCAAATAATTTTCCTTTTTTTATTTCCTTTCTCTTTTTGGCAAATGTTCCATTGTTTGGATTTTTCTTATGGAAGAGCAAACCTGGGTGTGGGACAGCTCTGAGTGCCATCTGCTGGAGGCCTGCTTCCTCCCATCTCTGTGATGGGCCAAATCTGGAGGCAGTGCAAGTGGTGATGTAAGCATAAGTGCTTTGAGGCCACAAACCACAGGCTAGAACAGGAAAATCATGAGAATTAAAAGAGAATTGAAGCTAACACCCTCAGACACTTTCAGCATATCAGGATCATTTGCTTACACTTCTTAATGGGAGTACCATCACTTTTCACGTCTCCTGTGCTTGTCCCCTCATTCTGTTTCCATGGAACACATTTCTATACAGAATCTTCCCAGGAAAAAGTAATGAAAAGATCAAAGTCTTAGTGAGCAACCAGTCAGAGCTTCTTGGATGTTCCAGTGCCAGCATGGGTTAGACAAAAGGAAGCTGGTCCCCAAGCAAGAACTGCCAGCTATGTCCCTGGGCAGCAGGCAAGGACTTTAAAGAGCAAATGCTCTCAGAGGTGAATAGCCTTTGGCAGCCTCCTACAGCTTCCCTTAGTACAATGTGAGGTATTTGAGAGTGAATTGGATATATGGAAGTTATTTGTGCTGTGTCCCAGCAGCCAGCATGAGAAAAGTAAAGGCAGAATTGTGGGGAATGAGGCTTACCACTACCTGACATACGCATCCGGTGTCTGCTCCTGATCAGCCATTGTAAATGTGTGTATTAAGAGAAATGGATTAATGTAGCATACAGAGTTCGTAGCAGTAAAATCAGGATTTGAGTAACTTCATTGATTATTTACCTACATTTCTCTCTTCATTCGCAGGTACCTGCATTCAGAGCAGAAGTTACCTGAAGGTATGTCACACAAAACATCCATGACCCTGCAGGCATTAAGCAACTTTTTACATGCATGTTCTGTCCAGGGTTTCCTATGCCTAACTCAGCTCTATTTGAAATGCAAATGAAACCCACAGCTGAACTCTTCCTTGCTCTTTTATATCCCTGCAGCATTTCACCAGCTCAGGCTCCTCCACAGTCACTTTGCTGTCTGGTTTGAGGAGCTGATGTCTTTCATGTCCTATGGGGTTGTGTCAGTGGTGTGACCCAGTGTTTGCTCTATGCTTGTTGGTGTCTTGCTTGAATGTAAGTCCAAAATCAGTTTTAAGTCCCTGCTAGTAACATGTTGCAGACCAAGATCTAGTGGAGAGAGCTGGATCCAATATGGTGCAATGCCCTGACTGAATTCTCACTCTGGTCTCTTCAATTCCCTCATCTACGAAACATGGGTATTAATGCCAACTTCTTTCCCAGGAACTTCGATTTGTTCAGCTTTGGGATGCAGCAGAGCTGTGTAGGTACTGTGTGCAGTAAGGACAAGGAACAAGGAACTGCAGTGGTGGATGTCATTGCTGGATGTCAGGCCTTATCTAGACTGAACCAGCTTCATGCTCTGTTCGTGCTGGTTTGATAGATGCACTGTGGTCCGGAATAGGCTGGATGGGCTGTGCATCAAATTGGTTCAGGTTTAAAACAGAGAAACATACAGATAACATTTCCATTTCTGTAGCAGCATCAAGAAACTCCTGAAGCTATATGAAAGCCTTGCTGCTCTGATTACATCACATCTGACATGACCTACAAACGCCAAAGGAACGGGGAGCTCCCATGCTGCTGCTTACGCTAAGCCTTTCCAAATATAGTTCCAGTCTCATTGAAATTCCTGGTATTTATAATTTGATCTGGCAGGCGTGCAGGGCTGTGCATCAGAGGGGCTTAATGAAACAAGAGTGATGCTGGGATTGAGGCTGTCTGGGTAGAGCTGAAAGGCATGTTCAGGCCATGGAAATGTCCTGCTCTCTTGTTGGTAAGAGGGAAGTATTTGCAGGTGAACCTGTGTAAGCCCATGTGATCAGGGAATCCGGAGAAAATCTCTGCAAATGCAGAAGCCAGCTAAGCCTTGCATTGCCTCACTGATATGCAAATGAGCACCCTAAATATCCTGCTTTGCTTTCTAATACCCTTAGCCAGCATAAAGACAACAGGCTTTTTATAATCTGTAATCAAGTTCTCCAGGCTAGGGGCAAGCACGTAGGCTTGTTTCAAGAAGACGAGACAGCTGCTGGATATGCATCCACCCCTGCTACTGGCCCTGTCCGGCTATAACCACCACTCTTTCAAAAGAATTGGTGTGCTAATGTCTGTCAGGAGCAGTACAAGCCTTTAGCACACACAGATCTGTTAATAATCTTCTCATTCTAGGCATACCTGCTGCATAAGTGATTTGGAAGCAGAAAGCCAAGCCAAATAGGCTTCAGGCTTCATGCACTTCTATTCTAGGGCTAATCCACCAGCTATATTGATTTTGCCCTTTCTGCCAACCTAGAGAGGTTGTATTACACTGTTAATCCCATCCTGCCCAGGTCACAGGCACAACAGGCTCTGAAAAGCTTCACCTGCTGGTGTCACAGGAGTGGACTCATCAATGGCAGCGCTTCTCTTACCCTGGTTGGCAGGGAGCAGCCTGTTTCTCTGAACCCTTTTCCATCTCTTACTGGACTGTACATTCCTTCCCTGCTTCATTTCATCTCACGTTCTCATGCAGAGCAGCCTTTGCTGTCAGCATGTGGAGATCCTTGTCATATCACTAGCACAGATGACTCTCATGGTGCCTGTCACTTTGTGCAGCTCAAATGCCCGTTGCTTTGCCTGGCTGGCTGATGGGGGCCCAGAAAACCGGGCTGATAATTCTGAGTTCACTTCCAGTTGTTTTGGGCCCTTACTGCTGAGCTTTGGGGAACTGAAGGGGGCAGTTGCTGCATGCATTAGTATTTCATGGGGAAAAATGGTGAGGAAAGAGAGCACAGAGCTCTGTTGAATAGAGCAGCCCAGGCTTTAAAGATTGGTGGTGGATAACCCTACACCAGGCCTTGCAAACAGGAATTCACGAGGCATTGCCAGGGTCCAGGAAAGGCAAGACCCATTGCACCATGTTTGCTCTGTCTCTGTTTCCCCCACTTGAAGAGTAAAATGCAAGCAGGTAGGAATGGCAACTACGAGAGCAAGAGGATCAGCATCAGTGCCTTTGCTCTGCTGAGCCATAGCCCAGAGGATCTCTGCAGCGAAGGGAGAACAGTCCTTGCCACAGCCCTCCTGGCAGCACAGCACCAGGTTTGGTTTCTCCTAGGTCTGTGTACAGCAGGCACACAACTTGCAAGCCTTGAGGGTGTGAGGGTTGGCGTGTTAGGGTGAAAAGAGGACAAGTTTGCTACTTGGAAACAAAAAATATCTTTAGTTGGAACATAAGAACTGTCAGGGCATTTCTGTGTGCAGCAGCAGCACGTTTCTGACTGCACAGCATCCTTTGCAGCAGCAAGCTGGACCCTCGTGGCAACTCACGTGTCGAGGTGGAGCGTGAAGGGAGGTCAGGGAGCAGCCCAGGCTGTGCAGGTCACACGCTGCCTGCGCTCCTGCACGTCCCAGGACTCGCTGCAGGGAGCTTGGCACCGCCACCGGCCCTTCCAGATGGCGTCGCACAGCTGCTGCTCTGCAGGGACGGAGATGATGACCTTGCAAGGGCCGGACGGCTGAGGCCACAGCAGGGAGCAGCGCTGACACAGATAAGGCAGGAGGGCAGAGGGGTGCCAAAAGCGAGCCGAGGCGGGGCAGCCCGGTGGCTGCTCGCAGCTGCCTCACACCGCCATCTCCCGGCAGCCTGGGGCTGCAGCAGCTGCTGGGGGCTGCAGGAGGGTTTTCCTCTGGTACCTGGCACGGCACGGGCTCGTGTTGGAAGTGCCAGTGATGTCCTGGGACTCCTCTGACACTGCCCCTCAGTGCCCAGAGCAGGAGAAAAGCACTCTACTTTGAGTGCCTGCTCTGCTGTATCCAGCTTGCTGGGGACTCATGGTCTAGGATCAGTCCAAAAAGAGGACTGGAAGGGGAGCATGGTCCTGGAACCCTCCGTGGTGCTGGGAAAAAAAAAAAGTCACCACTTTTAGTTTTGTGAGTGGAAAAGGCTGTTTGAAAGTGAGGACAAAATTGTATATCTTTCTTTTGAAGGAGAGAGAAGAAAGAAAGGAATTGAAAGATTTGGAAATGTGCTGGAGGGAGTCGATCAGGGCTGCCCTGTCCTGCTATTGCAGGCTTTGGCTGGAATAAAAGCAAGGCTTGGCGCTGCAGCAAAGTGAGTTAGTGTCACTGCGAAGAGGCAGGGGACACAAATCACTCATGATGGGATTTGTGGGGGATTGTCCTGTGTACACTGTCTGCTCCTGGGTTCAGTGTGTCACAGGCCCCTGGCTGATAGAGGAACAATGCTCATGGTGTATCTTTGACTACCATGCTCTACCACAGAGACCTTTGGAGGCTTCTTCCCTTGTCTCCAGGAAATTCATTCCCCATAAGAGCAGTAAGTTTTGTTTTCGTATCTCATTCTTTGTAAAGGCTAAACTGCAGGATCTACCAAACATCCAAAGTAGAGGGTTAGCAGCATGCTGACTGTTCAGACCCTCCTGGGATAAGATTCTTGAGCAGAAGCAGATCTGCATACACATTTCCTAGCAAAGACACCATCGCCTCTCTCAAAAAAAACACCTTGCATAATTATTCTTCTAGATTTTTGCTTCTTCCCCTGTCTTGGAGAATCTTCTCCCTTAAGCTGACAAAAGTTGTTCCTACATTTTAGAGCTGAGAGGGATTCGGGCACCACCAATGCATGCTGGCTGTGCTTGGGACATAACAGCTTAAGCCGTATTGGATGTGAGCATAGGCTCCCACTGAAATGGCCCATTAGGCAGCCTTTGTAGCAATTCAGCATTGTTCTTTGTCTCCTTTGTACAATTTCATGGTTCAAGGGCACGCTGAAAAAAATCTCATTGCAAATCTAATTGCGTATCTGACCACCTGTGTAAACTGTGGCTGTCTTTAATGTCTGAAGTGTGGAGCTCCTAATGGTACCATCAGTAGCTCTAAGCTTGTCTGTGAAGACAATTTAGCCATGGATCCAAAAAAAAAAGGAATTAATTTTTGAGTTCAAGAGGCTCTTTAAAAGAAAAAAAAAGTCAGTAGAATTTTTATATACATTTCCTTCATCTGCTTCAGCACAAACATCTGAACAATGTATCCTGGAATTCTGTTAAACTGTAACTGCCTGCCTGAGTTACTGTATTTGATACAGTAATTCCTGAGTCTTGTAAATATTTTTTTTTTCTGTAGCTAAGAACTGGAGTAGAAAGAGGAAATGCCCTTTTTGGGAATGAATCAGAGAGTTATTTTAAATTTTCATTATAAGAAACAGTACCAATATTCAGAAAGCCATCTTGTGCTTCTTCCTTGATGCCTAAATATGTAGGAATAATTTAAATTATAAGCAAAAAACCACTCTGCTCTTCAGAGCTAGCTTAGCCTTTTACAGACCACAAATCCATATGGTCACAGATGCACACTCCGCACAACCCTGGCAGAAGCACAAGTAGCATTTGCTCCCCTTTTATGCAGAAAGGATCCATATTAACAGCAAGACAGAGGAGCCTGCAAAGGCCCACTGAAACTGGAGAGATGAGCACCTTACGATGAGTATGACAATATTATTATTTTGAAATTTTTCTCCTCTTTCTCTCCCTAGGGTGCCGTGTGCTTGTACTTGAGTCAGTAAATCTGTTCCGGAAGTACCTCTGGTTCCTGGATGTCCCCCTGTCCTGCCTCCTGCCCAGCGATGCACTCTTCGTACTCACGGAGGAGGAGACTGAGCGAGCCAAGGTGAGATGCTTGATACCTGTTTAGCCTGTTCGAATAGCTCATTGTTATTGTGAAGGCTTTAGTCAGAAGTGTTGTACTCACAGAGAACTTCACAAATAATGACATACATGGATTATAAATGTCACTAGTGAACAATCCCCAGTGATTTGTGAAACACGAAAAGATGAGGCGGGTTGCTTCAAGTGCTCTCAGGACAGGGCCGAGCAGATTTATAGCTCTGAGATTTTCAGTGCACTGAGTTTTATGCTGGGTCTAGGATGTAAGATGTAGAGAAACTTGCCTGCTTTTTCAGGCTGCTGAAAGCCAGTGTTATGTATGGAAATTGCTCTGATAAGGGTGACGTTATTCCCTTGTGGTTTTTGTTTCTGAAATCTGAACTTTTTAAGCTGGCGCACTATAAATAGATTAAGTTTCAGCTGGCAGCTTATGATCGGAAGCAGCACACTCTGTGTTCTCAGATGCACACCTATCATGTTTCTGCTTCCCCAGCATGTGAACACCCAGGCATGAGATATCATCTAGGGAGGAAGAGTTATGTGACAAAACTGTCACAGCACCAATCTGCAGCTGATAACATCCTTCCTAGCAGGACCTCTCTGGACACCAGGCAGCACACCAGCTATTCAAGGGCAGACAGGCCTCTCCCTGCCCTTTGGCCCTAGAGCAGGCAGCCTTCTACCTCTTAAAACTTCTCCCCTGCTCACTGAAATTGGCTGTCCTGTAAATTGGCAGTGAATGTCACAGGAGGCTTTGAAAACTGCCCTCACGTCAGGTCAGGAATGTTTTTGTAATGGTTTCTCTACTATTTGTCCTTCTAGAGAGCCATGCGGTGTCATCGCAGCCAGCTGCTCTGGTTTCGCCATCTCTATATGCTTTTCTCACGTTATATGGTGATCAATTCACTCCATCTTCTGTAAAAGACGACGCTCACAACTTCAAGAGTGAAAGAATGAGCCAAAAAAGACTGTGCCAGGACAATCACTGGAGGAAACTCAACTGTTTACTCAGGAGGACAATATTCTCTATGTAGTGTTCTTTCAGACTACAAAAAACAGTTTGTATAAACTTTCTCCTGAATATCCTGTGGCCTGATACATTGAGATGAAGAGGGTTTAACAGCTGCTCTATTTTCTCACTGCAGAAGCTTAAATAGGATAAGAAATTTGAATTAACCTAGTTAAGATTCAAACGCAGGAGTATTCTGCATTAGAGAAGATATAGCACACACTGTTTTTCCCAGCTGCAGATACAGCTGCAAAGATGGCTGGGAACTTTTCCTCTTGGTGCTTTTGTAAAATCCAAATATCAAAAGAGACTTTTCTATCATGCTGTCTCCACAGATAAAACCAGAACCACAAGACCTGTCTTATTCAGTAAGAACTTCAAAAGGTCAAGGCTTATGAATAAAGCATCAGAAATTACACAATTTTCTATAATCACACTCATAAAGCTGCTACTGCTTCTTTCAGACACATTGTGTTGCAGGCTCTCCCTTCCTAGTGTCCCCCAAGAAACATGAGCATTTCTTCTTGCTTCAGAACATGAGGCTTGAGATCAACTCAGAAAAGACTCAATACGATGTAAGAATGAGTTGCACGAGACCTTTTGTAGAGCATATGTGGAGATATAAGAATTGCAAGAGATGTTTCGAAAGCAGTTCCACTTACCTAAAAGACAACTGCGAGATCTCTCCCTTCATGTTAAAAGGTAAGTGAAGGAGAAATCAGTTTTCAGTGATGTAATTCCTTAGATTATAGAGATTTTACTAGTGGTTTGGGATTCTGTGTTTAGCAAAGTCAGCAATGCTTCACATTTCTGTAGGCCTTTGCACTCATTAATGTAGGCTTGTATCTGCAGGAGGCATCTTCCCTGCATCTACTCTGCCAGTCATTGCATGGTCAAGATTAGAGCCCAGATTGCAGATCCTGATCTGTTGCTGTGAGCGCATCCTCCTCCTCTTCCTGAAGACAACAGATGAGCTCCTGGTTGTACTAAAGCATGTGTCCATTGTTAGAAGAGTTTGACATTGATGTATCATGTGCCCTGGCCCTGAGTCAGTGCCCAAGCATATCCCTACTCAGCCTTAAAACCATGAGCGAGTCCAGGCTTAAGCAAAACAGTACTTAACCACACGACTAACTTCAGTGGTCCCTCTCTGGCACACAGCTAAGCACCTGTATAAATGCTTTACTGAACTTGAGCCTAGTAAGCGCTTTCAAATCCCCTTTAACTCTAAATCTTTGTAAATTCATTCAGGTCAATGGAGAAAAAAAAATGGTGTAAGGTAGTAGTATATCCTAAACAAGAGATTATCTTATGTAGGACATTTTTATAAGCCAGACTTAAAACACAGGAAATATGCATACAAACCAAGACTAGATTTTTTTTTAAACCTTTGTTCTGTTTATTTTGATTTAAACTTTACCATAGCTAAAGGCAAACTACCAAAATACCACCACTGGGGTAGTTTATGGAACAGAGGTAGTTTGAAAACTGGGAGTCACAAATGAATGGGACAGGAAACAGAAAGATTTACGTAAGAAACAAAAAACAGGTAATGTCACCACCCAGGAAAGCCCAAGCTACGTTTCCGTGGCAGTGCTCCAAGTTCAGCCGCTGGACGGGTATATCAGGGCTTTGACATGTCTCTGATGGTCTTATGTTCCTTCATTGCCTTCTCCCATTCCTTGCCATTGATATCCTCCGTAACAATGCTGTGCACGGTGCCTTCATCCAGACAATGGGGAGCTATTCCTGAAGGAAGAGAGTACATGCAAACCTGCTTTTTGTAGCTAAAGAGCAGGAGATGCCTGCATGTCTACATGTTTTTTGAGGAAAAAACTCTGAAGGCCCATGCCTGCTCACTGCAGTAGTGTTAGCAGCCAATGGAGTCTGCATCCAAGCTTTGCTTGGTGGTTAATTTTGGTTACCGCAGTTTGCCAGGTTTACTGTTTCTACCTACCGTAACCATCGGGATTAGAGCGAGGAGTATAAAAGCTCTGTACACCACAGGTCTTGCAGAATGTGTGCTGGGCACGATGTGTGTTGAAGGTGTATGTTGTCAAATTATCAGCACCCTAAGCAGAAACAAAAAGCAGTATAGATTTTCCACATAGATTTATTAATTACTTTCTATGGGTTTGTAGCTAAAAATGTAAAACTAAAAATACCACCACATTCTTTACTTTACTTGAGATACGGAATTCTACATTCATACTGCATTCCTGAACCCCTGTGCTTTGTGTATATACATGGCCATCCTGGTCAAGGCTCAGAACTCCAAGAGCTTTAATGTCAGCTCAGTAAATAAGATGCACTAACACTCACGGCAAACAGCATACAATCCATATATTTTTCCCCAGTCAGCCACAGACAAATTTAGGACAAGAAAACTGGCTGCCATTTGCATCTTTGAGGATAATACTGGATTATATGGATTAGATAGTTTCTTTCTGCTAGTGTTCATGGTCATGTTCTTACTGGAATCTTACTCTACCTTCAGCAGCTTGAAACGCGAAGCTGGGACAATGAAGTGTCTGTTCTGCTTCTTTGTGCAAATGCTGCAGCTGTAAAAGAAAGAGAAGACCTTTCTAGGAGCAGCAGACAAGGTGTAGTGCAGCAATCAGATCTAGCTCAGACTTCTTGACAACTGAAATTCCACTGACAGCTAAAACGGCTCCTTGTTGGCATCAAAGGTAAGTGGCAAAAGTGGACTCATGGTATCAGTGTTTGGCTAAGCATGCCCATGGAACAGACTAACCCTGCGCAGGTACACCAAGAGGGTATTTGCTCAGAGCAAACATTATATGCTATTTTTATTCTTATATGCAGTTCTCAATAGACAAGGACAAACTGTAGCCCCGAGAAATCCATTTAATCTTTCATACCAGAGTTTGCCAATTTTGCCAACGTTAATTACCTTGCAAACATGGAAACGAGATACAGAGCCTACTCATGAGCTGGATGCAAACTAATTGCAGGCAAGGGGGGGAATCACTGCTGAAATCAGACACTGTTGTGGTTTGAAGCACATGTGGTCAGAAATGTAATGTTCACTTGAGAAGACCAAGTTAAAAAAGGATTGATGTGCTTTGAGTACGCTGTACTTAGAGGAAACATAAAGCAGACGGCTGAGCACCTGTAGTCATCAGATCTTTCTGCACTTTCAACACTTTCTGCATGAGCATGGATGTGAGACCTGAAGTCCAGCCCGCAGATGCAGCATCTGAAATCTCCAGCACTGATCCCATATTGGATCAGGACATAATTAGGCATCTACTCTATGGAAACAGATCAGAGGATATTGTGCAGTTGTTTTATGTTGTTTTTGCTGAAAAGCATTGATTGGAAAACCATGAGCTTATATTCATCTATGAGAACAGGGAATCAAAAAAACTCACTTGCAGTTAAAAACATGCAGATCTGCTGAAGCCCAGACTTCAAAGCGGATGGCTCCGCAGTGACAGCCTCCTGTGTGTTTGACCAAACCTCTGTATTCACTGGAGAGAGAAGCAACAGAGAGGTTATGTAAGCATGCAGTTTTTGATGGCCTGCTAAATTATTCAGTTCTGCTTTGAGCACTTGCAGAACAACTGAAAATGTATCCACTCAAATGCATTTAAATAAAAAGCTCCAGAGTGAGGTAGAGGATGGCTTTTGTCCTCTGCAGCAATCGCATTTCTGGTTTAATTAAAATGGCAAAAAGAAAAGGAAAGAAGAGCTACAGTTCAAGTGGAGTACGCTCTGCCTGCAGTACAGAACGAGTGCTCCCCTGCCACAGTCCAGGTCAAGAGGCTGACCTCAGCTGCAGCACAATCAGCAATGCATGGAAATAAGTGGTATTAGCACAAGACAGCCCTCTTGGAGTTGGGAAAGGAATTTTCCCCCAGTTTTTCTACAACTGCCCCAGTACCGCTCACACTCCTCCATTTAACAGCTGGGATCAGCAGGGACGAGGCGGCTCCCCTGGCGTTTCAAACACCCTTTTGTATTTTGATTGCAGGGGAGCTTCAAGGAATCGAGGAATCTCCGAGCCTGCGCTTCTCCCTCTCCCCTAGGGCGCCTCCATAGCAACTCGGCAGGACGAACGTGCCAGGTCAAACGCCAAGCGCAGAGGAAAAACCCTTTTCCTTTCAAATTTTCCTTTCAAAGCCGGCCGCCGCCGGTAGCCTGGGGCTGATGCGCTGTGCTCCGCGCACGGGTGGAGATGTGGGAGGTGAGCCTCGCTCAGCCCCAAGGGCGTTTGGCGAAAGGAGGGCCCCGAGGCTCCGCAGGCTTCCCAGGACACCCGCTTTTTGCTTTGGGGGGGCTCCCCCCGCCCGGCAGCTCTCCGTGCCCCACTCACTCACTCACAAGGCGTCCAGCAGCAGCCGCGCCGCCTCCTCGCAGCTCAGCCGGTGCCGCTCACGGAAGGCGGCCCAGCGCCCGCTCTGCGCCCCTAGATCGAAGGCGTCGGGCCCGGGGGCCGCCTCCTTCTCCCCGGGCTCCGTCCGGGAGCCTCCCGCCTTCTTCCCTCGCCCCCCTCGGCTCCCGACCACGGGGGAAGCTGTGGGGGCGCTGCCCCTCCGGGACCGCCGCGCCCGGCTCGCCGCGGCTCGCCCCATGAGGCCCGGCTGAGGCGAGGCCGCCAGGGGGCAGCCGAGGAAAGGCCCAGCTGAGGGGGGCAGCGGCGGCGGGCGGCCAAAAAGCCCTCACGGCGCCGTGGGGCCGAGCCCCTGGGTGCGCCCTCTCGCCCCGGTGGATATCGTGAGGTGAAGATCCACAGAGCATCAGGGAGGCGAGCTCGGTGCGCCTGCTGGCTCGTAACATAGCCTAGAGTGGTAGGAATGCCAGCTGTTCACAAGCGATAGCGTGAGGTTTTGCCTTTAATTATAAACACAATGTGTCTCACCTCACGGATTCAGGTGTTTTGCACATCCGAGGTGCTATTAAAACTATGTGGCTTCACATCTCTGCCACGCGCCCACCGTCGTTTAAAAACAAGGTTGCTATTTAACAGCGCTCCAGTGTATCGGTGTGCACCTTTGGAAGCACATTGATTCCCTGTCCTTCCCTGAGGTTTGAAGTCACTACAGCATCCTTGCAGAGAAACAGATTTTAACCTGAGTCCCACTAGACAACTTTTCAGAAATTCTGTCGCCAGAGTCTTTAAATTAAAAAGGAAAATGATCAAGATAGGACAGACTTTAAAAACAAAACCAAAAAAAAACACACCACCACTAAAAACACTTCTGAAAGCACCTCTTTAGTGATAAATAACCTAGAAAAGATTATTGCACACCTGTAAGATAAAGCTGTTTCTCAAGTAAAGTTGTTCAGTTCAGGGGAGAAGTATAAAACTTGCAGGCATTCAACTTGCATTTAGTAGGAAAAATAAAATCACTCTAAGGCTGAATGCCCAGTGCTGCAGGAGTGGAAGTTTATTTTGTCTGAGTTACAATCAATAACTTGTATTTTCAACAGTTCTTTATGTCTTGCTCTTCTCAAGATGAGCAACAGGGAAAGATGTAAACAAGAGAGCTGCCAGTTTGGTACAGGGCAGAAGGTCCTGTCTTGTCCACGAAGACAGTAAAGCAACTGGACAATGATGAAGCAACCATCAGCACTCTCTGATCTGGAAAACAGCTTTAAAAACACGCGACTACAGTGTGTAGGCTGCCTCCTTAGATGGCACATACCAGGACTCAAATAACAATCCTGTGGCTCAGCACGTCCCTTCTCTGATGATAGGAAAGGGTACTGAGTTACAATTTCCTGTTATTCCTCATGTGAACCTCTGTACTCATTATTCATCCTAATGGAACCATTTTAAATACACTGTACGTGTCAAGCTCTGGTCCATGCCAGCATGTTCGTCTGTAGCTCCTGATCTGAGCCACTCCCAGACCTCCTTTAGTCACGCTAGATTTCATGTTAGTCACCTTATATTTTGGGAGGAAAAGTCACTGAGGTGAAACTGGAGATTGTGAGCTGAAACTGACTCTGTGTAGTTTGTACCATGGCTTCATCTGCCTGCAGTGCGGGGCACGGCCCACAGCAGTTGCAGGTTTCAGTGAACTGTGCTTTGTCCTCTGAAAACAGGGCTTGTGCTGAACTGAAAGGCAGAGTATATTTTAGGAGCTGATCAAATGGCCTTCTGTCTGCGGGATGAGCAAATACTAAAATTTGTCCACTCTGAAAAAGCAGTTCCTGTGTGAAAACCAGAGTGAGTGTGTAATGAGTCTGTGTAATATATACAAATACGTCACTCTCAGCTCACCTCCACAATTAGTTCGCCACATTTTAAATGTAGAAGGCATTTTGAGAAGCCAAATTCTGTTTCAAAAAAAAAGAACTACAAGACAAAACTGGATGAGCAAAATGCAGTCTTGTTTCAGAAAGTTATAGACAAAATATTCTTTCTACTTCTTCATTTGTTTCATGTTTATTACAAAGGACTCTTAAAGCTCAAAATTGGGTCTCACATAAATAAACAATACAAGAGCTTTTTAGTAGGTGTCTGGCTGATGATAAATTTCACTGGTATTCTGATTGCAAGTCCTAAATTGTACTTGTTGCATGTTGTATTGTCAGTATACATGGGTGTTGGGCATTGCTCAGTTTTCAAAGAGTTAACAGCTTTCACTAGGATATTGATTACTTCCAAGCCTGATGTAAGGCATGCCAAACTCTAGTAGAAATAAGTAGCTTGATGAAGGATGTTTTGTTCTTACATGTAAGCTTCTGAGACAGTGGGGAAAAAAAAAAAAAAGAATTATTCAGAAGGAGGATGGGAAAGACAAGAGGAAGAAAAGTCCAGTAAATCAGTTGAATCAGTTGTCTCTTTAGGAGTATTGTGATATTCAAAGTTCAACAGCTGACCTGTTTCAGTGTTAAAGTACAAAGGTGCTTTTCTGCCCCATCCAGCTCTGCTTGTATAACAATGACTCAGCTATGTAGACCTGGCTTGCAGCCTGCACTGAGATTCTGTCTATAAGGGCATTTTCACAACAAAAGCAGCACTAAAAGCAGTTACCTATTTGTGGGTTTAAGAAAATTAAGAACTGTGGATGCTTTTCATCTAACAAGCACAGAACTAGAAGTAGTTTATAGCTAACACTACATTTAAAAGAACTAAGGTAGTTAGTACCACATAGTTTGTACAGAGGACAAAAATAACAATGCTTGGATTTTAGTCTCGATATTAATAAAGGGGAAGCTTTCTGGCCATTCTCCTTACCATGGAGGGATCCAAGCTGGATCTGGAGACAAAGGGGCTGATGGAGGAAGGCTGTTCAGAATGGCCTTGACAATACTTGGTTTTGTTCACTGTTAGAGAGGCTGAATTGAAACATATTAATAATTATTAACAGCATTGTAGAATTATTCTTTCTATCTTTCCATTTTTTCAAGATGCTTCTCTGCTATACTGCTGAAAATCCTCACCCCAGAAACCACATGCTCAATCAGCTCAGACACAGCAGAGAGAACGTGAACAAAGAGAGCTCCTTCAGCTGCAGTGCAGTTTGGATCAGATCCAAGAGACTCGTAAGCAGGAGATAGACTGCAAAGACGCAGACATGTAATTTTTAGAATAGACCTAGTTATTGTTGCTTTCACTGGCACAAACCTGTGCAGGCACAAACCTGTGATTTTAGGCTGATGGTGTCTTTATAAAATGCCCTTCAGAAGTCTCCTTACATCAGAAGCATGTGAATTGACACATATTTCTCTGGGTTATTTAGACCTACAGAGAAGGACGCGCCCAAACATGTTCATGGTGGCAGCACAGACCCAAAAACAAAGCTGTATCTATGTGTCTTGCGATCAAACTCTACTTTAAACAAAGAAACAAATGAGTGTTGCCCATTTCCCTTGTTTTATTACAAATGTAGCTATTTGTTTTTCTTAAGTGTTCAGCTCCTAAAGTTGGTAGCTTGTGAAGGACTTTGTTTATTAAGGTATTTTTAGCATAAGGCTTAAAAAAAAAACAAAACTCGGTGAGTTGTCTTTTTTTGGTAATCTCAATATTACAGCCCATCTTACTGTATTTTGAATTTGTGCCTCGTTGTTTTTGTAACCCTTGAGCTTGGCAGTACAAGGACAAGCAGTAACATGCCACGGCTCTATTTGTCTTAAGGCTGGAACTTCAGCAGACTGGGCCTTATTGCAGTGTTACAGGTTTAGGGAGAAAATATTTATCTCCATAAGCATAAATAGGTAAATATAATTATCCTGCGTCATACGCAGTGAAAGAGACCTGAGGTAGGTATGAGTAATATTATGAGGTAGAAAAATACATTGTTTTTCCTGGTGGCAAATAGCCCTATTTTTGTTTGGACAAAGGAAAAGTACTGAACTTGCTACTCCTACTCAGATCCTCTGATTTGCTGGCTGTCCCAAGTTAAACCCTTGGAGCTAAAGATAAACAGATTGCTTCATTTGACATTGCTCACATCGAAATGCTGTGCTGTTGCTAGGGCATTAGTGTACATAAAAACAGACCTAGTAGTGTACATAAAAAACAGACATGGTGTTCTAGAATGTACAAATTCGTTGGAAACATTTCTCTGACCCCAGGTTCTTCTCTTTTGAAAGCAGGTTATTTTATACTGCTGCCCAGTGACCTACTTTTGAAACCACTCAGCAAGAAATATGTGTCCCCAAAGGCAGGCCCCATACCCTGGCAGAGGCTGGAACCACCTGTGCAGTCAGGCCAGTCACAAGATATGGATTTCTGCTTTTTCAGGTTTGCATTTATTTATATGCAGTCCACAGTCAGCTGCTTGCTGATTCTTACTCATCTAGAGCTACTGAAGGAAGGGCAGGATATATGCTAAATACTTTTGCTTTGAATAACCACAACAGTAACAGTACACCATTTAAGAACAAACATGTCTCCTCTGTATCAAGCTTGGGTAGTGAAATATTTTCTGAAGAAATTCCGAGGTAATGCTGAAATTCAGTAAAATTAATTCATGAGAGTGTTACTATCAGCTTGGGAGACTGTTCTGTACACATAATGTGTGAAAATGAGGCAGAATCTGGCATGCAGTGTATAAAAAACTGCATTATGACTTCAAAAAAAATTGTACCTTTCAGCCTGATGATAAAATATCATCAAAGTACAATAATGAATCTGTGCAGATAGGAATTGTGTAACAGTCAGAGTACACGGATTTACCACAGAGAAAAAGCCAAGGAACAGGAAAAGAGATGTTTAAGATCCCAGAAACAAAGGAGGTGGGGTTTGTACAGGCATGTAGATGTCTATCCCAGCTTAACAGTTAGGACAATTAAACAAATCCAATCAGTGGAGGCTGAAAAATGCTAACGATGGCCTGCATAGAATAGCTTGCCAGCAGGCTATGGAGATTAGTTTAATTCTGCTAGGCCGTGGAATTGTGCAGACAAAGCCAAACTCTTTTGTTTATCTCTTCTGACAGAGGGATACCTGAGGAAAATAATGAGGCTTTTTGCATGGAACTGACAAATCCAATCCACTGTTGTTTCTAAACAGAGCCTACATTCAGTGGCAGCATTTTGCTGCCTGTGCTTGCCTTGGGTAATGTCATTTCCCTGAAGAATGACTTTCAGGAGCCGTTATTAGCAACGTATTTAAAGAACTGCCTGTGGTAGAGCCATCTTGCTGGGATTTTATTCTTATCTGTTGATTTGAATATTTAGCCAGAACACAAACAACTGCTTTCACAAGCAGTTTAGTCATAGGCTTGAGCCATACTTAGATAAAACAGAGGAGGGAAGGGCTCCAGTATTTTCTGGAAATACACAGTGAAATCGTTAATGCAATCCTGATGTGCACAAACACAGCTCAAGGCTTTAAGATTAGCCTGTGGTTAATCTCCAGTTTAGCAGACGTGGCCTTTCACATTTATAAATATTACTTTTAGTTCCTCTCAAGGCTCCAAGGCATTGTTTGGCTGCTTTGGATCAAACCTCTTCCACCTTGGCACTACACAAACAAAAAGAAGCTCTTGGAAACACTGAGCAAAACTGGCAGCGTAACGAAAACAAATGTAGTGTTGCTCAAGTCTGCCATTTGCTCTAAGTTTATGTAGCCGAATAATATTCCAGAGGTTGGTTATTGCCACAGAACGGTCTCTGAATTTTCCAGTTACTGCTTTCCTCCCTTCCTGTCTCTATATTGTGAATAATTGTTGTTAGGAAGATTATTTTCTTTTTACTGTAAAACAGGAAGTGCTAGCAGACACAAGCCTTGCTAGAAGAAACCAAAGGGTTCTTTTTTTTGTTTTTTTTTGTTTTAATGGCAATACAGCACGTAGCTCCGTGTTAAATCCTGCCTGTTCACATACATGCTCATGCTTCCCGAGTAGAGGATTTACCAGAAAGTTCATCTGGGTTCACTGAGGGAGCTAGCAGAAAATGAAACACAAAAACCTTTTTGGTTCTTGCATACTCCGGTTATGATAGAAATTGAGTCATGAGCCAGTCTGAAAGGTATAACGAGCTTTAATTACGGTGAAGCACATCGCCACATCAGCTTGCAGCAGGAAGTTATTCCATAACCTGTTCAAGGCTTCCTGTTCTGAAGGCAAGTAAACAGCTGCTTCAGTTTGAAACGTCAGCGTTTCACGAGGGCTTCACAGCCTCACACTGAAAAGCCGTCAGCCGCCCCAAACTGGCCCAAAGGGCAGCTCAGGGAACGGCCTCGTGACAGAGCGCACATTCAGCCCATAATGCATGACGCACCGGGAAGCACAAACACTTGCCAAATTTCTAAGCGCCAGCGTTTTCCAGCTTTTCTAACACATTTCTGCCCTCCTAGGCGCTCCCCCACGGCCCCACACAACGGGACCGCGCCAGGCCCTGACAGAAACGCTTCAGGTCCCTCAGGGAAAAGGGCCAGCGAGGTGCTGCAGGGCCTCTGGAGGCCAACAGAAGGCTGACGCCAGAGGTAACCGGTCCCTTCCCGGGGTGCCCGTGCCCCTCTCCCCGCCAGGTCCGAGGCACCGCTGGGGGACACGAGGCGACCCCACAAAAACAGCCCCAAAGGGACCCCAGCCCCACAGCCCCTACGCGCATGCGCGCTCCCCCCGCCCCTACCGAAATCTGCCCCCGCCACAGGAGCCGCCCTAGCAACAAGGCTGACCTCACCGCGCACCAATCAGAGCTCGGCAGCGCTCGAATCTTCCAGAGTTTTCCTCGCGGTCAGCCAATCGGCACCCGCCTTCCTTACTGCTGCACCAATCAGTGCCGAGCTTGCAGTCGGTTGCAGTGTTCGTTTCACCGCACCTCCAGATCCATCCGCGCCCCCCAAAATTTGGGGGTTTTTGAGGGACTGGGGCCTGACGCGAAGAACCCGGGACCTCCCTCGCTCCTGGAAAGGAGACGGCCGAGGAACGAAGGCGGGTGCTTCGCTCAACGGGGGTCTTTGGCTTGGGACTATTTTGAGAGGCGGAAGGACACGTCAACGTTCGGGGCGGGGCCTTCTGACAGGAACTGCATAAATACGGGCGGGGCTGCGTCACCGCGCAGAGACACAGCTGCAGACAAAAAGGAACAGAGTGCGGAGGGAGCGGAGTCCAGGGCCGAAGACGTGAGTCGGGCGGGGGGGGCGGAAATCGGGGTGAAAAGCTTTAGGTTTGTGGGCGGGGAAGTAGAAAGTGCAGCCGGGGGTTTGTCGGGCGGTGTTTCTGTATTCCTGGTCGGTGGCGGTGAGGTGCGGAGCGGCTCTAAATGCCTGAGCGGTGTTACAGACGGGGGTGGGGGGGTGGCCGCGTAACCGCCCGGTGAAGAAGAGGGAGCGGTTGAGGGGAAATGGCGGAGCCTGCCGTTGGCGCCGGAAGCAGGCGCTGAGTCACGGCCGGGGCGGGCGCCGGCACCGCGCTGCAGTCGCGGGTTGTTCGCCTGAAGCGCTGCGGCCCCTGCTGGGTGCCCCTGCCGCATTGCTGCGGCTGGAAAGGGAAGGGGCTGGCAGCTGGGGCCATCCGCCCAGAGACAACGTCAGGGGTCTCTCCTGAGGAGAGGGGCGGTTAGAAAAGATGGTTCCTTTAACAGCAGCGATTAGAGAAAGGTTATAGAACTCACTTGGTCAATAATAACAAAAAAACCCTCTAAATATTGTTTACGTAATGCAAAATAGCAGAAGCAGTTGTATTTCAAAATCACAGAGTTTTGAGACTATTTTACTGCCTACTTAAGGCTTAAATTTCTGTATGTTTTGTAGTTCAACATGCAGATCTTTGTGAAGACCCTGACTGGCAAGACCATCACTCTCGAGGTTGAGCCCAGCGATACCATTGAGAACGTGAAGGCCAAGATCCAGGACAAGGAAGGCATTCCTCCTGACCAGCAGAGGCTGATCTTTGCAGGCAAGCAGCTTGAAGACGGGCGCACCCTGTCCGATTACAACATCCAGAAGGAATCCACCCTCCACCTTGTCCTGCGCCTGAGAGGTGGCATGCAGATCTTTGTGAAAACCCTGACTGGCAAGACCATCACCCTCGAGGTTGAGCCCAGTGACACCATCGAGAATGTGAAGGCCAAGATCCAGGACAAGGAAGGCATTCCCCCTGACCAGCAGAGGCTGATCTTCGCTGGCAAGCAGCTTGAAGACGGGCGCACCCTGTCTGATTACAACATCCAGAAAGAGTCCACCCTGCATCTTGTGCTGCGCCTGAGAGGTGGCATGCAGATCTTTGTGAAGACCCTGACTGGCAAGACCATCACCCTCGAGGTTGAGCCCAGCGATACCATTGAGAACGTGAAGGCCAAGATCCAGGACAAAGAGGGCATTCCTCCTGACCAGCAGAGGTTGATCTTTGCAGGCAAGCAGCTGGAAGATGGTCGCACCCTGTCTGACTACAACATCCAGAAGGAATCCACCCTCCACCTTGTCCTGCGCCTGAGAGGTGGCATGCAGATCTTTGTGAAAACCCTGACTGGCAAGACCATCACCCTTGAGGTTGAGCCCAGTGACACCATCGAGAATGTGAAGGCCAAGATCCAGGACAAGGAAGGCATTCCCCCTGACCAGCAGAGGCTGATCTTTGCAGGCAAGCAGCTTGAAGATGGACGCACCCTGTCCGATTACAACATTCAGAAGGAATCCACCCTCCACCTGGTGCTGCGCCTGAGAGGTGGCATGCAGATTTTTGTGAAGACCTTGACTGGCAAGACCATCACCCTTGAGGTTGAGCCCAGTGACACTATTGAGAATGTGAAGGCCAAGATCCAGGACAAAGAGGGCATTCCTCCTGACCAGCAGAGGTTGATCTTCGCTGGCAAGCAGCTGGAGGATGGTCGCACCCTGTCTGACTACAACATCCAGAAAGAGTCCACCCTGCATCTTGTGCTGCGCCTGAGAGGTGGCATGCAGATCTTTGTGAAGACCCTGACTGGCAAGACCATCACCCTCGAGGTTGAGCCCAGCGATACCATTGAGAACGTGAAGGCCAAGATCCAGGACAAGGAGGGCATTCCCCCTGACCAGCAGAGGCTGATCTTTGCAGGCAAGCAGCTTGAAGACGGGCGCACCCTGTCCGATTACAACATTCAGAAGGAATCCACCCTCCACCTTGTGCTGCGCCTGAGGGGTGGCCGTTAGTTACTGTGCATCTTGCTTGATGAGATTGCTGGTAGCACTTGTGTTTGCACTGTAGTCCTTCTAATGTCTTAAATTAAATGCAAGGTTAATGCAAGCTTAAGTTACTGCTGAACTGTGTGTTGAAATGCTAATAAAGTTTTCTGTTGCACATTACAATTTGTTGTCGTGTCTCAGTTCAAGCTAGTAAAATGAGTATATTTAAGTGACATGCTCACACTGGCTCTTTTCCAAGCCTCTTTTCATGGGTAATGACATAGTGGATGAAACATACATGGATTAAAGTCTTAAATTAAGCAGTAATACTATATTAATTCTGCTTAGAATTTAACACAGTTTATTTCCAGGAAGGATAGTGCATTCTGTTAAAGGCTCCAGAAATCTAATACCAAACCAAGTGAAGGTTGTATGACTCAATTCAGTGGGGTGGATTTACTGTAGTTCGTAAACTGCAGTGTGAGTAAATGATTACATTGCCTGGCACTGACATGAGGTGAATTCCCACTTTAACTGTTGTGTAAGCTATGTAAGTAAATTTGCTAGTTAGGCATTTTTTAATAGAGAGAAACTGCAGTTTCACTATTCCAGAAGAGACCAAAGTGAAGTGTATAAAGGGAGGTGGGGTGTACACTACTGAACAGCTGGAAGGATGAACTGCAGCAAGTGCTTTTGCTGACTTGCAGACAGTTTGGAGGCCTGTATAGCTAGCTAGCTCTGGAAATGGCTGCCTTGAATGGTGAAGCATTGGGTAAAAGGGTGTCCTTGGGTTGAGTACTAGCATTTTACAGAAGCATTTTTAGTGCTAAAAGCTGGAGAGCACGAAAGGGCTTTTTAATGGGGGTGTGTCAAAGGATCTTCCATCCAAATGGGTGTGGGGAGATTCAAGGTGATACTGAGACTGGTTTAGTTCAATGTATAATGGGTCTTAAAAAGGGAGTGTAGCCATTCAGGTGCCCTTCTATGTAGCCTTGCTGAGGTTGTAAGGATTGTGGCTTTCAAGGTATTTATCTACTGAATTTTGAAAGCTGTTCAAAGTGAGTTTTGGTACCTGTCTACGTGGCACTGTGCTGGTGCACTTCGTTCCTTACTGCTACCACATGTTACACACCATCTAGACTTTCTTGTCCACTTTAGTGCCCTAGCTTGTTCCACTTAAATTTCAATTTAATGTTACCGGGCATCTGTTGGAGATGCCTGGTATAGTAATGCGCCCATATTAGCAGTGTGTTCTTAATAAGGATGCAATCATAAAGACAAAAAAAAAAGTTAAGCTGCCCATTGTAACCAAGTGAAGTATTGCTGGTTACAGGGCTGATAGTTTTTTAGCAACATTTCATTCCCTGACTGCTAGATGTAGCTGTGCTAGCAGAAACCTGAGTTCAAAGAACAATTGCTATTTGTATCCTGATGCTTTCCTTCAATTACCTGATTTCCTGCAATACCTTTTTCTTTAATATTTTATTGGTTTTGTGCTTTTTATACTTTAGACACTTCAAGGTGTCTTTAATAGCCCAGCTGTCCTTAGTGGACAAATTCCATGAGCAATTTACAGTCCAGAGGGGACATGGCCCTAAATAAATTTACATTACTTATCTCTTTCTGCTCCTGATTTGCTCTATGGTAGAACCAGCTGCTTTATCTTTCATGGCTCATAATTAATAGATGATGTTTCTCAATTCTTTTAATAATTAAACTGTGCTGCATGGTTACAGATGCAGTTGCTAACTAATCAGATAATGAAGGCTGCAGGTTCAAGGGTATTTTGGTTCTGGTTAGACAGAATTCAGTAAGTGGTAGGTGTCTTTTTTTTTTTTTTTTTTTTTTTTTCCCCAGAGTTGCTTACTGAACGAGAACTGTTGCTGAAGTGTTCAAATTCAGTGCAGAATGCAGACACCCTCTGCAAGAGCAGAGACTGAGAACGTGGTGTGTAGACATCAGAGCAGGTCTGCGCCAACTTCCCCAGCGTATGCTCACTCCACCTTTTCTCTGCCCAAACCAAGCCTCTGCTGAGCCGTTGCCACTGCTGTTAGTGGATGGCTCACCAGCAGAGCCACACGTACAGATCCTGCTTCAGGCTGTTGTTGCACCCAAGGCACTGGGCCATGGGTTGAGGGAGGAAGAGTGACACTGACTGGGGAGCAGCACGGGCCTGGTCCAAGCAGCCTGAACTGGTTGTGTGCAGAATAAATGTGGCAATAGGCTGTTTTCCCCAGCCTGCTAGGAAGATTGCTTAAGTGAGGGGCATACTGAAAGTTATCCAGCTCTGCGTTTGGCTTCCTAGAAATGGCCCAGAACAGCAAAATGACTCAAGTGACATCCAGAGATGCCGTCACATTGCAGTGCTACCCTAGATGAGGGAGGGGCAGTGTGAGCTGGACTGAAAGGGCTCACTGTGAGACGCAGGGATGCTGGTGTTGGAGTTCCCATTTCTCTTGTAGGAGCTGTGGTTTCTGGTCTCCCAGCTAGCTAACGGAGAGCTGGATCTCCCTAGGTGGAATAGGAGACTGCAAGGGGTTTCTTTGTTAATTAAGAAAAATAAAATCAAACAAACAAAGCACTTTATCCCAAATTATGTGAATTAGGGAAATGTACATAAAGTTAAGAGTTTAATAGGCTTTAGCCAGAATGTAAGTGCCATTAAAATAGAATAATCCTAATGCCCCCATATAGATAACAGATTCCAGTAACGTCCTTTATCCTGCTGTAACTTGAGCTTTGTGACTGGCCTTTGCATTGTTTCTTACGCTTCAGTTAATTTCTAGTTCTGTGTTGCACTCTCTCTAATTCCAGGACTTCATGGTTTTTGTCCTTTGTACCTAAAAAAATAAAAAATAAAAACAACAACCAACCAACAAACAAAAACCCTTCAACCTCTTTTAAGAAGACAAATGAGATAATGCTGTTATACTGGGGTTTGGATATGTTCAGTGGTGTCCTGTGCTATTAACTGCCCCAAAGGGGAAGTCCTATAGGAAAAACGAGGGTTAAGGCAAGGAAACATTGGGAATACCTCGGTATTTTTGCATTGTCTCCTGTTCCAAAGTCACTGGGTAGTATCTGCATTCAAAGATTCTTGGCTGCACAATTTTGTATTTATGGAAAATTCTTCAGGCATCATCAAAACCAGCCTTATTTGGAATTTGAGTTTCTAAATACTAACTATTGCTGATAACTATTTTAATACAAAGGCTAAGTGAATGACTATTTCTCAGAAATGTATGCCTACAACTACTGCTTTTTTTTCGAGCATGTCTTGTAGAGGCTGCATCAAGCATCAAGAATTGAGGTTCACGTGGTAGCCACTGGATGTCACTATTGCTCCACAGAAGAGTCATTTGAAACGTTGCATTGCGTGTTTTGCTGTTTTTTGATAGTTACTTCTTTAGGCTGTAAGTTTAGAGAAACGGATACATCGAGTACAAAGACACTGCAATTTAAAGAATATGAGAAGTGGATAGTTCCTTCAAAGGCTTGAGAAGTATGTAGATGGGAGCATTTAAGTATAATGATATAAGACTAGTGGTTGACAAAATACCGTCTTGTAAATAAATTGAGTCACTGAGGCCATCAGACAAGTTTTGACAAGGTATTATATTTAGGAATATTTAGATTTTAAATTGAGCAGTGACTGATCCCTCTGATGATACAAGATTCCATCTGTGTAACTATCATAAATCAAGGTGCTAAAATTCATTCAATTCAGTGTGAGTTTTCCCTAACAGTTGTATGAAAAAATGTCTGGCAATGCAAAAACAATTGATATTTCTCCAGGCCTGAAAGTACAGCTTTAAATGAAACAGTCTTCTCTTTTAGCCCTGTGATCTGCGTGAGTTTTGAATGAAGTGCTTGCCCACCTGTTCTGGAGAAAACATTAATGGTCTGCATGCTGCTATTACAGGCTTCCTTCTCCTGTGAAGACGATGGTGCTACCTCTTAGAGTGGCTGCAGATCAACTGCAAACACCTGTAAGTGTCTTTGATTTTCTATTTACAGCCTACAGAAAATGTGGTATTGGCCATAAGAGACATTTGTCAGTATTTGGTGGGCACATAGGTGAACAGAGAATACATATTTTAGGAGGTGTGCGTGTTCACATCTTTGCAGAAAGCGGTCTTCCTTACGCTTCCTGTTGCTTTCTCTTTAAGCAGGTTCTGGTCATTGTTTTTTCCTACCATGGGTTACTGTGCTTCTTCATAGAGCGTATGTTGTCTGTACTTTTACTGTAATTATCATCATGAAATGCTTCCTTTGATTTGACTTAAAATTTCACTTGTTTAGAATTCGGAAATTCTAAATTTAGAATTTAGAATTTAGAAGTTTGGAAGTTTACAATTTGACTTTTCCTGGATTCAGGGTTTCCACAGAATGTGTCTCCTGTTAGGAAAAACTTATGTGACATCAGAATTGTGTTCATCACTAGAATAAGTACAGATCAATTGCAAGGTTCCTCCTTGCTCCCCCAAATAAAAGCCTCAAAAGGCAAGAGGGTCATGTATTGCTTTTGAAAATGCATGCTAGCACATAGGTGAAAATCAATTGCTTCTTTTTTTTTCTCCTCATATGTAGCTTTGGATAGCTTTCTCCTGAGTCCTAACAGCTATCAGGACTTTAAATACTGCTGGCAAGTACTTGTGAAGCATTATAACTAGCTCACCTAGCTAGTGCACAGCAGTGACATAATCACGTTACTGGCCTCAGAATGCCCAGTTGCTGGCAAGTATGCATCAGGGCAGACCTTGCGGTTTTTGTGCCTCGCTTCTCCCTCCTCTGAAATGGAAATGGGAGTGTTTACCATGGTGTCCTCCCTGTGAAAGCGTGTGCGCATGTGTGCAAGCATACCAAGGTTTCTGTGTTCTCCCAGCAGCTCCATGTTTCTGTTTTGCTGCATTGACCTCTCAGCTGGCAGAGACTCCTTTCCCAGCAAGCTGCACATTCCCCTTCCTCTGTGTAAGCTATTAAAACCAGATGCGCAGAAAGAAGTCTGTTATGATGCACTTTTGTGGGCTGAGTTCGTTCCTTAGTTAGAATGGTGGGCTGACTCTCATGAAAGCTGGGGGAAAAGCCCAAGAGGATTGAAATCCATTAAGTCTGAGCCAAACTCCCAGGCCTGATTCTATGTCTGGTACCTAAGTAAATTAAGTGCAACAGGGCCACATTCCAGGAGACCCCACACTCTCCTGCAGTCCTGTCAAAAGAAAATTGCTTTGGGTTCTGTTTGGGCTTGTGGCAGCTTTGGAAGGAGAGATCCATAGCCAGAGTTCAGCATGTCATGATGTGGCACATACGTTCTCAATGGTTTTGGATCAATTGTTGAGTAAGCTTTGAAACTTCCTGTGGGATGTGCCCCTGCTATCAAGCTATCGATTAAAAGAGCTCGGTACCATTCTGATAGTTAATGAGATTTTCTAGATGAGCTCTAAATCACATACATGGCTTTGTAAACCACCAGTCCTCTACAGAGCATGGGTGAGAATCACTCCTCAGCCATTTCGTTCTGGGGAAGGCCACAGAAGGTGCTGAATGTCATCCTGCACTGATGCTGCTGGAAATAATGATCATATTGTTTTTTCGCCTTACTTCTGTTAAAAGTAGGACAAAAAGAGCCAAGACACTTCATGTGGTCTGAGGTTTTCTGTGCCCAGAGGTCCTGTATAGGGAGTGATAAGTGAAAGGGTGCTATTGTGCATGCGTGGTCTCAACTACGACCAGTTGTACATCCGTTTTCCCAGAAGCAGCCTCTCCAAAACTCCCCTTCCTTTGGAGAACCAGCACATTAAGAAGTGGGCACCAGTGGCAAATTAAGTAACCAGTAGCCGAAGTGTTTAGGAAGTGGGGCTGCTTCTTGAATTCTCTTGTCCTTGTGATGAGCAGCTGATGCTTAGGCTAACGTCCTGGCTAGTTTGTCTGCCATGGTTTTTCTTTGCCTCGTAACTGTGGTGTGTGAAGCTGTGTGAGAACTGACTTCCCACAGAAACAGTTGACTTCACATGTTTCTTTGCATTCTTGCCCTGGGGCTGAGGGTCTTGTGACAAACCTCACAGCTAAACCACAGGCTCTGGAGCTGTCAGGGTCCAGTCAGCCTCCTGCCTTGAGATCTAAGCGGGCTGTTGTTGAAAGCCACAAGATGTCGCCTCTCTGTGTGTGCAGGCAGGGGTTAAGCATTATGAATTTGCAATAGCCAGGCAGCTTTCCCATATAAGAGCACCGCACTCATTGGCTCTCTCTTTTACTGAGAAATCTATCTAGTCATTTCCTGTGCAAGCCCTTCTTCACTTTGCAAAAAGCTATACAGTTGAGTAAATAATAACAGTCAGCGGTTATCTCTTCTCACAGGCAGCCTGGATTCTCTCATGGACCACCACCAACCAGAAGTTCAATGCTGCACCATCAGAAGAATGCTAATATGAGCGTGGTCTTCTCTGCAGAAGAAGAGGGCTCTCACCCATGGATGTAAATGACTTGGGGTCTGCTTTCATGCTTATTAACACTTACTTGACTTGGTTTCTACGAAGAGATTATTTAACCTCTGAAGGATCAGTTGGGATCCCCCGTCAGATCAGTTCTTGGGTGGAGCTTGCAGCAACTTGGGGTAAGTGCTGTGCTCTTCCGCTTTTGACAGCAGGGCTTTTTTTGTGCTGCACTACTCAAAATGGCTTGGTAAAGTCGCAGAAGGAAACAACTCAGCTCTTGAGTAGAGAAGTGAAAGTTGAGCTGACAGAGTGAGCTGTCTGTTTCCTAGGAAAACACAAAGTGGATGTATATATTTCAGGGTCTTTTTTTTCAAGAACCATCTTGCTCTTGCTTTTAAACCAGACATTCTGTCTGTAAAAGACTGACAGTAAATAACTCTCTTGAGCGCTGTGGAGAAATGGAAACTGCAGCTGAGAAATGATTTGGGGGAAAGGAAGACAGAAAACCACAAGCAAACTATTATGGAAGTACAAATAACCCTCTGAAGGATTGACGAATGTACCAGTAAGTGTTTTGGGGGAGAAAATAAGACTGAAACGGGATTGTAGGGTGTATGCTTGTGTGTACAGAGGAATGTTTGTCATTAGAGTTCAGACTAAACTGAATGGCTGACTTATAACGGTTCGTCATGGAATCAGCCCTTGGATTTCTTGCTGTGAGCTGCATAAAGATGTTTTGTTGCTGTTTTCTGCCTAAAGCTAACTATGCTTCCCTGCATCCTAATCTAAGCCAGAATGCTTATGCTGTGTCCGTTTACCTCTTTGCTGGTATAGGCTATGGAGTCTGGCTGTAGTCCCAGCAAGGGAGATTTCTCTTCAGAGAAAATCTGTTAACCATTTGGAGGGAGTACATGCGAATAAGACGGAGTTATTAAGCTCTGGTTCAGGTTGGTAACTGTGGATGTTTCCTTGCTGCCTCACAAACTGTGTGAACATTCTGTCATATCCTGACTGCAGATAGCTTGAGTTGGGTGTGGATCTGAGATGTATCCAGATAAATATGAGATGTTCAAAAGGGTAAAAATGGAGTTCAGGCCGTATTAGACGAGACAAGTGGGCTGGCTGGGTGCTCTGTACAGCAGATCTGGGTCCAGTTTTGCTCTTGTGGGTGCTGAGCTGTGTTAAGGCTCCAAATGTCCATGCAGCACCTGTGGTGTGTATACTCCTGTGCTGTGGAGCTGAAAGTTCAAACCCACACTCACAGGGATAGCCAACACCACGAAGATCTCTCACATATTGCTCCAGGTTGCAGTGTAAGAATACATGAGAGGAACATAATTTGTGCATGTTTCCCCTGTCGAAATACTGCAGTTTATTACCAGCAGAAAACATGAACAAACTTAGTACTCTGTTGCAAAGAAAGCCTACGGTTAGTCTTATCTTTTTAGCCACTTGGTGACTGGCCTGCATTGGCTGCACTGAGACAAGAACAACGATCATGGTCTCCTAAAGATCCACTCTCCTTGCCTTTTATGTAAGGAACCTGTGCTGTTGCCAACAGGTGAGGTAATCTCACAAAGGGGGTTCAGATGTTCTGCAGATGAATAGCCTGTATTTCGTGTACTGCTTTTGGACTGCTACTTCAGGGGTACCCCATTTAAGACCTTGATCCTTTACTCAAATACTCCCAATCATGCAGAGTTTTACTGAATATCTCTCTCAAGAGACATGTAGTCAATTGTAGGAACACTGGATGTGGAAACATGGTTTTCTGTATGTCTGTGCCACACAGTACACATTCTAGGTTTGTGAACAAATTGTGTAAGTTCTCCCACTCCCTTACAGGTTTAGTCTCCCTGTGGGGAACGTCTGGTGATCTGCAAGACAATCTCTGCTAGAAATGGATAACTTCACAAATGGGCAGCCAGGCCCGGGTCAGCGGAACAGGCTGATGGGATTGCTAGAAACAGATGACAGTATCCCTGAAGATAAACCTACATCAAGTAAAAAGGATGAAAGATCAGGGCTACATGGGAAGAAAGGAGAGCCACAGCCCTTGGAGACACCTTATCAAAAGGAAAGCAGTGACTTCCCTCCTAAAGTCATGATTAATCTGAACTATCGGCCTGGACTTGTCAGCAAGTGAGTGACTGTTGGTTATTTCACAAGGGTGGGATCCCTGTTGATCTGTACTGACCCGTGCTGATACAATACATCCTGTCCCTTGCCAATAAGCTTTACCAAAGTTGAAATTAAAAATGCCAATTCAGGAATATTATGGGCGTCTTGTGGGAGGTAGTAAAAGGTAGAAGGGAACATATTAGCCTTTTCCCTCTGCACCTGGAAGGTAAGTGTATGGTGTGTGTTGTGTATTTGGGGTTTATCTGAACCAAATAGCACCAAGTAAGCTAAGTCGAGTGTAAGAGCAACTTAGCATGGAGCCCTATGCAACTGAACTGTTCTTGCCGAGGAGGGATGTAAACTAGCTAGCTTATAGAGAGCTTCACACCCTGTGATGGGACTGATTCTGATCCTGTAGCTATCTTGAGCTTCTTTTTCTGTGCTCTGGATATGTTCCAGGGTTGCACATCAGACTGGATCTGGGACGAGCTCCAGCTGATGGAAACAGCAGTCACTTAAAAGCATTGTGGGAAATATCTGTCTCTATTTTTCCTTTAACGCAAAAATAAAATAGTTGTTTTTCTGTCAAACCCTTTTGCCTCCATCCTTTCTTATACCAGCCCTCTAAAACTTGTTGCTTGTATTATGCTCTCCAGAATTTATTAACACTTTGCATTTCTCCTGCAGCCAGAAGGACCCCAATCGCTTTGACAGAGACAGGCTGTTCAGCGCAGTCTCCAGGGGCAGCCCCGAGGCACTGAACGGCTTACTTGAGTACTTGAGGAGGACCTCAAAATTTCTCACCAATTCTGAATACACAGGTAGATTCCTACTCTACTTCATAAACTGGGTGAGCAGAGGTAGCACTTGTTAATGTACGGGTGGGAAGCAGGGCAATTTGCTCTTGTCTTTTTACTTTCTCCAGCTTTCTGTCTATTCTTTTATTCCCTTAATGTCCATCTGAGGTCGGAGAATGCCATTAATTAAATATTTCCTACAGCTGTACTGCAGACTGAAAATACTGAGGCCCTTAAAGTAACTATTGTGTTTACTCCTACAGTGACAGTTAAGTCCAGGGCACACTGAATCAGGTAATATAGGTGTGTGTGAAGCACGTCCATAAACTGTTTGTTTTTTTTTCCTGCTAGATGCAAAGACGGGGAAGACCTGCTTAATGAAAGCCCTGCTGAATTTAAAAAATGGAAAAAATGACACAATCCCACTGTTGCTGGAAATAGACCAAAAGACACAGAATCCCAGGCCACTCGTCAATGTGGCATGCTCTGACTGCTACTACAGAGGTAAGGTTTTGCTGATGCTGTGTCAGATGAGTCTCCCCATCAGGCAGGTGAGGTGTGCAGGTACAACAAAAAGAAAGGGAACTGGTGTTTATGTGCACTGCCATTCCAGAGTTCTGGTGCAATTACAGTAACAGCCTGCTCACCCTTTTTTAGATCTGATTTGTGGTTCTGGTACTGTCCTTTTCAGCCTTGAATTATACACTTCATTTCTACAAGTTTGTTTTTAGTCTATAAAACAAAAATGATACATGTTTAATGAACCCACAAATATGAGAGAATTTGCTTAGGAAATAGGAAAGTTTAGAATGCATTTCTAAAAGTGAAAAAGGAATACTGTATATCTGTTAAAGAATGAGTTCTGCTTGCTAGGTTATCCTTTTAATAGCAGATATGCAACGTAGTCATGTACATGTATGGTTGTCTTTATCCTCCTCTCATAGCTCTTTGGAATTTTAGTACCAGACAGGGGGAATTGTCTGGTTTTGCACTGAATTCCTGATAGTTTTGGGGCTTGTTTTCTAGCTCATTGTTCACAGTGTGCTTTTCCAATAAAGTTGTTGAAAGTTATCAGTTGTCACCCATCCCCTTCCCAGCACTAATACTGTAGGATTGCTGTGCAGAACATAAAGCAGCTGTGGAAACAGTGTTTTACTGAAGAGTCCTTTGCCTGTTCCCTCGGGTATTGGCAATGAGTTACAGGTTTTGCTTGTTTCTGTAGGCCAGACAGCACTCCATATTGCAATAGAGAAAAGGAGCCTGGACTTAGTGAAACTTCTGGTAGAGAATGGAGCTGATGTCCATGCCAGAGCCCATGGCGAATTCTTCAGGAAGAAGAAAGAGGGAGTTTGCTTTTATTTTGGTGAGTCAGTGTGGAACACATTCCTTTGTTTTTTTTACTGCCTTATTCAATGACACTAGTTCTAGCTGGGTTTGAATTACCATCTTCACTGTCCTGTAATCAAGGAGCTCTTCTTCTGAAGTCCAGCACTGAATGGCTGGACTTCAAAGACCAAGGTGTCCAATGAGCACTTGACATCATTTTTGGTTTTATGTATTTAACCCCATCCAGGGGGCTTCACGCAGAGACAAATGCAAGGTTAGTGCAGTCAAATTAAGTGTCTAGAAAAATGCTCCCAAAAATAAGGAGTAACTGTTTACTGTAGAATCCTTACTGAATCTAGAGACACTGGAAAATAATTTGTTCTGTGGTCCAGTGGTAAAACTGCAGGCTATATTTTCCCAGAATTGCTTTCTTTATTGCTTAAAATTTTTTTTGTTTGTTTGTTTGTTTGTTTGTTTGTTTGTTTGTTTGTTTTGTCATTCCTACTTCCCCTCTAACTACTGTCCTAATCTCTTCAGGTGAACTTCCCCTCTCCTTGGCTGCTTGTACCAACCAGCTTGATGTGGTGGAATATCTTCTAAACAACCCTCACCAAAAAGCCAGGCTCCAGGAGCAAGACACACTGGGCAATACAGTCCTGCATGCCCTGGTGATGATTGCAGATGACACTGAGGAGAACACCAAGTTTGTGAGCACAGTATACGTTGAGATCTTGAAGGCAGGTGTGAAGCTTGACCCAACATGGAAACTGGAAGAGATAGTGAATTATGATGGATTAAATCCTCTACAGCTTGCTGCCAAGACAGGCAAAGTAGAGGTAAAGATGAGTAAAGGGAATTCCTGGGGTTGCTGAGAAACAAGGGTGACTGCAGCATACATCCTCTGCCTAGCAGTGGGGTGTGATGTAGCAGTGTCTTGTATCCAACCTGTAGTAAAGCTGCTGATAGTGGCAGTGCCACAGGAGACACAAAGGAGGCCTCCTCCTGGCTGCTCCAGTCAGTGTCCTGCTGAGCCCCAGCTGGCTGCTGCTGCTGTGTCCCAGCCAAGGTAGCTGGTCTGGTCTGAAATTGGTTCTGCTCCTGGAAGAGCTGATACAACATGTAGTTATGTTGCCTGCTTTTAGCCAGTCTGGTGTTTGGATACAACAAAGTATACAATGCAGAAAGCAAGACATTGTTTGAAGGTGATTTGTGTATGCTTGGGTCAGTCTGTAGCTTCCTCAAATACACGTTTTTCTGGTATGAGTCTGGTTTCTCTTCAGATCTTCAAACACATCATCCAAAGAGAGATCAAAGACCCAGTGTACAGGCACCTGTCACGCAAGTTCACCGAATGGACATATGGGCCCATCCACGTCTCCCTCTATGACTTGTCCTCTCTAGACAGCTTTGAGGAAAACTCTGTGCTGGAGATTCTGGCATACAGCAGTGACACGCCAGTGAGTGCTTTTTACTAAAAGTTGAAGATAGCAATGTTTTTTCCTGCCTGTTTATATTGTTGTTATTTAATTATGCAAATTTCAAGTTAATGTGATCTTTTATACGATCATTTCTCTGGAAAATAAATGCATGGTGAAGTATTTGCATACATTACTGTTTGTAATTTGCTTAGAATGCCTTGGATAATCTATAAAATGAGAGGTGTTTTTGATCCTTTGGTTGTCCTAAGCTGAGGTTTGTTCAAATACCATGGTGAAGCCAAGCAGAATTAATTTCCTATGGGATGGTTAATTTTTTTCAAGGCCTGATTGAATAAACTCTTAGTGATTCCATAATTGCAGCCACTGAACTCTAACTCTGAAAAAGACAATCCTCTGGTGAATTTGCATTCCTGTTGACACATAGATACATTTATTGTTGGTGGTGTTTTTCTGGTTTGATTTTTTTTTTTTCCTCATAGAATCGGTACAAGATGGTGGTTTTGGAGCCACTGAACAAATTGCTCCAGCAAAAGTGGGAAACATTTGCTTCCAAGAGATTCTACTTCAGTTTTATCTCATACTTGTCATTCATGATCATATTTACAGCCATTGCCTACTATCAGCCCTTACGGGTAAAGGTAAGCCTGGTGTTTTTTCATCTAGCAAGGCCTGAATGAATGGAGATGTGTTTTAAAAGGCTTGGGGTGGTTATCACCACTACTGCTGTCTGTCTTCAATGTTATTTTTTTCTTTTATTTTCTTGCAGCCTTCATTTCCAGTGGAGTTCACAGCCGGAGGCTTCCTGTGGGTCTCTGGACTGATCATTATCTTGCTAGGAGGCATTTATCTAATTTTTGCTCAGGTATTGGCATCTCTCATCTAGTTTCACTGCATGAAAGAAAACACAAAACAAAACATTACTGACATAAAGGCAACGGATTTGGTTCTCCTGACATTAGGATGTGCGAGTGGGTGGCAGGAGAGAATCCTGCTCTGAGACATAGTATCAGTGTGATCTGGCAATGACAGGGTGGCATAAGCCAGGTTCCTGCACAAGAGGAAGAATAGGCTCACAACAGTAAATCATTAGGAGGGGTTTTTGTGATTTATGATACTAAAATGCATGCTTAGCGTTTAGTGCTATTAATGCTTTTGATAAAGCCATAGAGCTGAGTTGTTAGCCCTTGTTTGTTCTTGATCTTTTAAAAATTATGGCCTTGTTTTCATCTTGGAAGAGTGACTAGCTGAAATTTGGGATCTTGAAAATGAAAGCTGGAGGAGAAGCTTATGGAGCAAACCTCTCTCCTGTGCAATAGACTATGCCAGGCAGCAATCAGCCTCGAACGTGCTCTGTTGTTCTAATGAATGGCTCCCATTGATTTTTCTCTCTTAGAGTCTGTACCTGCGGAGGAGACGCCAGTCCCTGAAGACTATGTGTTCTGACAGCTGTATTGAGATCTTGATGTATGTCTCTTGAGGTTTTTAGTGCAATGAAAGCACGGGTGAAATTGGTTCTCTGCTGTGTGCAGCTAAGTTGCCCTAACATTACTAGAGAGATGGTGAGCAGGAAAGATTGATTCTCTGCCACTGTCTCCTCTTTCCATCCCTACCCTGCTTGTTTTTCCTACCTGCTGCATCTTGTCATAACCCTTTGTTGTAATGGACTTTGCTGGGTAGGGTTTGTCTTTGGATTTGGTCAGAACATAGTAAAGGCCAGGTCTTCAATTATTTGACAGTTTAAAAAAATTACTTGCTGAAAAAGAACTCAAAGTTTTTAATCACACAGCCTCTATGGCTCAGATTTTGTCAAAAGGAGATAATTTCTCATTTTCCTGAAGAGAAATGTTCAGATGCATGTGTTTGCATGTATATGTGCATGTATTCATACGTGAAAATGCTTTTGCATTTCATATTAGTTGCATTTGTTATAGCAAACAGTTAAGAGTTTCCACACAGTGAGATTAACCAGTTCATAACAAAACTGTAACAGCGTATGGGTTTGGTTATAACAGGATTTGCTTATATAAACTATGAGTCTGATTAGCTGTGACTTTATATGCTCCACGTAGCCTGGAAAAATGTGTTTGCTTTTCCTTGCATAACAGAACAGATCTGCAAGTGGGCCTTTTTGTTGAAGTAAGTCAGTTTGTCACTCATCATATTTCTCTCCAGCTTCATCCAGGCTTTCTCCTTGCTGTTGTCAGCAGTCCTGTACGGTGCAAGCTCAGAAAACTACGTGGCAGTGATGGTGTTCTCCCTGCTTTTGGGATGGGTGAACATGCTGTATTACACTCGGGGCTTTCAGCGCACCGGGATTTACAGTGTCATGATACAGAAGGTCAGTACTTGGAAGAAACTTAGTGTGAAAAACTTTTAGGTGTGGGGAACTAATAGAAGTCCTTCAATTATGTTTATTCTCTTAGGACCATGAAAACCATCATAGAATTGATATATTGAGCCTGGAAATAAAGAAGTTGCAGAAGGAGATTAGATTGATTTCTTCAAGGAAGCGTAATGGTGGCAAACCATTAGTTTGATTATCTTTAATTATAGCAAGTTAGAGCAGCTGACACCTGTTGGTCAGAAAGCAACTCAAAACTAACAGTCAAAGTCATCATGAGTTCCCTGGAACTGTTATGCTTGGGCTGAGAAGTGTTTTCAGATCCATATGGGAGTCTGGGATTAGAAAGGCAAGGTAGAAATGAGGTGCCAGAGAAGGATTCTAATCACCACTTGTGTGAAACCCAATGGAAATAGAAAAGAAAGAGCCATGTGCATTGAAGTGATTTGGAAACAGTCATACTGGGGAAATGACAGAATTATTTATTAGTTTCAAAGAGCCTATTCATACAAATATAGAAACAAACATGTTATTGTAGTGCTCTCAGGTTAAGTTCTCAAAACTGTAACTTACATGAGGAAGTACCTTAACATGCACTAGCAGTTTCTTAAACTGGATAAAGGCATTTTCTGCTTGCTTTTTGTGTTGGCATTGTTACAGGGGTTTGTTTTATGACTTGTGAGAACAGGAGATACTCTTGGTGATTTCATGTGAGATAAAGAATGGCGTTTCCTTCTGATTTATTTCAGACTATCCTGAGAGATCTGCTGCGTTTCCTCTTGGTTTATATGATCTTCCTCTTTGGCTTTGCTGCAGGTAGCAATTTAAATCAACATCATGTTATAGGCTGGGCTGCAAGAAGTAATGTTTTTCTAAGGAGGATTCTTTTTTTTTTTTCTATTTTTCTCATAGCTTTGGTTACCCTGATGGGGGATGCTCCTTCACTGTCTCAGAACAAGTCTGTTGCTCAGATGGAGAATGCTGGAAGCCATGCTATGTATGGGGGGCTGCTCAGCGTCTCCCTGGAGCTCTTCAAGATCACCATTGGGATGGGTGACCTGGATTTCCAGGAACATGCCAGATTCAGATACTTCGTCATGCTTCTGCTGCTGCTTTTCGTGATCCTCACTTATGTTCTTTTGCTCAACATGCTGATTGCGCTCATGAGTGAGACTGTCACTGATATTTCTGGTGATAGCAAAAGTGTCTGGAAGCTGCAGGTGAGAGACAGTGCTGCTCAGCAGTTATGTCATGGTCCCAGCTCCTACTTGAGTCTCATAAAATCAGAGATGACAGCACCTTGTCCTGAACCTCAGTTGTAAAATTCTCTTTTTTTATATAAATTTACACTCAGAGGATAAACCCTAACATCATTTTTAGGTGTATTTAAAGCTCACGCTGTTTGCTTGACTACTAGCCTGTTCAGATCCACATGCATAATTAACTTGAGAGAATTGTATTTTTTTTTTTGGTCTGATAATGTTAAGCTAAGGAACACCTTGGAATTGAGCTCCAAAGTGATTTTCCAAGTCAAAGTACTTGCTGATTCAGGAAGGTTTAATCAAAATGAGGCTCTGGGGTCTGTATGCCCTGTTTTCTCCCTGACATGGGTTTCTTCTTTCAGAGGGCTATTGCTATTCTGGAAATAGAGAAGGCCTGGTTGTGGCGCCAAGGTGGGAAGAGGAGATCTGGCTGCTTTATGTCAGTGGGCCTCAATAAGAAAGATGAGAGGTGGTGCTTCAGGTAAGCCAGATGTACCAGTACCCCTTGAACTCCAGCCTAGTAACAGATTCCCCTGAACCACCCCAGTGAACGTCAGGGCTGACTTGGCAGAGGGACCCAATCACATGTTCCTGGGTGCATGGAAATTGGCTGGTGACTGCAGTGCTGGAAGTTCAAAAGCAAGTCACCAAGACGTGTGCTGCCTAACCTGCATCTGTGCAGGTGGTTCTGGTGGCAGGCTGTCTGCAACGAAGCTTTCTTCTCTGCTGCTAGTAAAGCTGTGGTGGGAGGTCTGGAGGCTGGTAGCCCCTTAGCTCAGGAGTATGCAACATGAGAGCAACACGAGGGGGCAGCACTCCTCCCCTCGCACGGGGGCTGGAAGTGCAGATGAACTTTTTTTGCACCCAGCAAAACAAGTGCTAGCACCACTTCTGTAACTTGAGGGCATTATGTGCTGTGAAACGAGTATAGAAAGTGGAATTTTAGATGCTCCTTTGTATTAAGTATATTCCCTGGGAGGAACTGAAGTACCTTAAAACAAGCCAATTACATAGACCAGCATACCACATGCAGGGAGATAGATACTGACCTCCCAGAGCTTAGACTACAGAAGATCTTTACTCAAGGAAAAGCTCCGTGGGTGCCATTGCTACAATAGGATTGTGTTGGCAGGAAGGAGCTGGGTTGGGATGCTGCAGGACAATGAGATCTGGGATGAAATGCTGTGTTTCGTGCATCAGTGTCTGTTGCATTTTGTTTCTCCAGAGTAGAGGAAATTAAATGGACAAATTGGGCAAAGGAGGTGGGAGTTCTTAAGGAGGACCCTGGAAACACCAGTGATTCAGAAATAAATCCAGAAGGTAAATCAAATCATTAAGAAAGTTCTTCAGTATCCTTTTGGCTTCTTGCTCAGTGGCTATTCTTTGCATGTTATGTCTTCAGTAATAAATTTTAGGCAGGCCAGCAAGAGCTTTTCTTCCCTTTGACTCAGATCAGCAGCCAAAATGCATGTTGCTTTTTGTATGAAAGGTAAAATATAGGTCCGCTCATACCACAAGTGTTAAAAATCAAAGCTTTTACGACATAAGTCAGGGAACTAACACTGGCAACTTTGACAAATTCTGCCTTAGTTCATTGTGTTTGCTTCCCTCCTTATACCTGGGAAGCAGCTCTCTGTGGACAGTTGTTAATTTCACTAGAAATATTTTACTCCGTGGTGGAACTTGGTCAGAATCTCTACTGGAGTTAAACACAGCCTCCTGCTCTTTCAGCAAAAGTTCTTCCTTGATGCTGGTATTCTAGGAATGGGGAGGTTACAGCACTTAATTTATCTGGTATATGTTGGATTTTCCCTAAACCTGCGCTCTTCTAAAAACTGGATTCCTTTGCCAGCTTCCTGCTGACAAAGGGCTGCTGTTTTTATGTCTCCTGATATAGAGACAAGATCAAGGAAACAGGTGACACAGAAACAACTGAGATCAGCTGTTTCAGAGGAGCAGTCACTACTGCAGCCCCAGCTATCAGCAACTGAGATGATGCCTCTAGAGGGACAAACCAGAAATCTTTAGCGTCTTCAAAGGAGTAGTCTTCCTATAGCAGCTTGAAGAATTGAAGGCATTGCCAGTATTAAAGTGCATTTCACCGAAGACTGTGGTTCAGCCTGTGGCTTTAAGTGTTTTCAAGCACTTTAATTATGAATTTCCTCTGAAGAAGCCATTTTATCTCAACCTTCTCTGCCTGACACTTTCTTATTACTATGTTTAAAGGTGCAAGAGCAAGATCATAGTGGCAGTGGGGAGTGGCCTTTGGGAGGGCAGTGCTTTGTCAGCTGCATAGAAATAATGCTGTTTGCCATAAACAAGTGAAGGATGGAGTTGACCTGCCTAAGAACAGGTTGATTTTTTCTTTTGTCACAAGAGACTGCACTGAAGTGCTTTGGAATAAAAAGTATTTTAGAGGCATAAAGAGTTACCAACGATGTAGCTGGTTTCTGTGCAAAACACTACTGGTGTGAGATGTGAGTGGACAAATACTCTAGCTTCAGTCATCAAGAGCCATACTAAATCTTTGTCTTAATACCTACTAAAAGTCTTTGTCTTAGTGTCTGCAGAGCTGGGTGTTTAGACCACATCTGATTTCCTGTTTTATGCTACGGTAATGAAAGCATTTGCATGATGTGCACATCACTTAAAAACACAGAAGTGATGTGAATCTTCTGGAACTGTAACCTCATAAGGTGAATTTCTGAAACATGTGCCCTTAAGAGATTGCTTTGTCTCTGTAGAAAACAGCAGTAGAATCCTGCACATCACTTCTGAGAGAGAGAGGGGCCAAAATGCTTCATGTGGTTAACATTTCCTGTCAGTCTTAGTGGGTTTCTTACCTTGCTGTAAATGGCTACCAGAACTTAATTGTTTCCCACCACTTCATGGTGGGAAACATCTTAAACTCTGAAGAGGAGTAAAAATAATGAAACTGTCTCACTTCCAGCCTATATTTAAAAATAATGTAGTATTTCTGTAAACTATCAGTATTACAAGTTTACTTAATTGAAAGTGTTCATCCTTGAATGTATTCTCAGAGCCTCAGCCTCTTCCAAAAAGAAATAGAAGATGTGATCAGTGTGGACTGTTAGGCGTTACCAAATTCCTTGTTACATTTCACCCAGTATTGTGATGACTTCGCTGCCATGCAAATTAACTCTTGTTTTCCATGCCTCATGCCAGTTTATGCAGCCACATCTGTAACAGACTATGTTGCATTGGATGCATGCTTTGTAGAGGAATGGGTAGTGATAAACCTGAAAGCGCTGCAGACTACAAATGCTGGCAGCACCTTTCCTTCAGTAAGATAAACTAAGCAAGTCAAGATCTCCTGTCTCTCATTTCTACTCTGAGCAAGCGAACCTGGGAGGTTTCTCTCTTGGAGACAACCATTTTAATCCTCTTGCTTACTTACACCTACATGACTGGCAGCAAAAGCATTGCTTTTACAATTTATTCCCTGTCACTTCAAACAGATTCTTCCCCTGTGCTGGGCAATTCCCTCTGCAGCTTCCCTCTGTTGGGTATCTGAATTGTAACGAACATTTCTCACTCCAGCCTCTGCTGTCTTCTTGCTTTGTAAAACCTTCAGCTGCTTTTTCCATCTATGGCTTTGTCCTAAGTGTTCCCAAGATTTGGCAAGGTGCTCATATTGCACAAAAGGATCATCTGACATGGTAATCTATTGCTGTGCATGGTGCTTTGCTGTAGTAGGGACACTTTGAGATTCTCAAGAAATGCAGAATCAGATATGACATCTGTGCTTGGAGTCTTAATACAACAAAAGAGAAATTGGGCTTGTCGGCAGTGGCTTTGGTAGCTGTGGGCTGTGACAGCTTGCTTTCAAAATTACCTGCTTCTTCAAATTTTCCTTAGACCTGCTTCTTTTTAAATCACTTTCTTAAGCTTGCTAATATTTTGATCTGCATCAAAAAAAAAAATCCTATAATTTTGGTGCTTACTGTGAAACAGGCCCTTGCTATTCCTTGTGTTTCACAGTCACGCACAGAACACCAGTCCCAGCCCTCTGAAGCTCACACGTGAAGGAAGATGAAGAGTAGACAGGGACAGGCAGATGCAACAAACAACTACATCAAATTGATCAGAAGGTTTAGCAATGCCCAGACTGTTGTACAGTTATTTGTGTTCATGGAAAAAAAGATTTTTGAGGAGTTCCCTTTCTGCAGTGGGGTCCTCCTATAAAGCTGAGGTGAGTCAGTACTACTGAGATCAACATCAGTAACCTCCTAGGTTTTTTGTATTCTCAATCAATGCACAAGGCTCCTCTTTGGCTTCACCATCTAAGCCACTTCCCATTTTGGTCACGTAACAAACAGGTAGGCTGCCTGGGGTTTACTCTGTGGGACGTCTGCTGTTGCTTGGAAGAGGAAGGAATGACAAGCAACTTCGTGGATTTGATGGCCCAACAGGATTCTGGGATCCACTCCTAAGAGATCATAATGTTTTGTCAAGAAACTCTTCAGTCCATTATACAAGAAATTATCAAATGGTGAAGTGTCCTTTCCCTTCTGCTTCTGGTATTTACCTACTCACCTACATGGAACCTGTCTTCAATCCATCCCTATGCTAAGTGGGAGGCTTTGCAACATTCTCATTAAAAAAAAAAAAATAATATTATCAAACCTATGTGAATGAATACCTGCAGTTTCTCTCCTCTCTCCTCTATGTATGAGCCATAAAGGCACTGAAAACCAAGCTATGCCACGGAGAAAAGACACCAGCAGCTCTCATTACCTTCCCTGCATGGTTATGGATGCTCAAATCCTCCCGTGTGATTTGGTCTAAGTTGCCTGGTACGGTTGGGAGATGAATGCAAGACTGTATTGCTTCCAAACTACTTCTCAGTCACACTTTGCCAGGTCATTGCTTCCTGTGGCCTCTCTACCAAGCTTCAAACATCTCCCACTGCACAGTGATCCATCTCACTGCTTATCTGTGTAATTTTCTTAAAACAAGCTCCATGCCCAGTTTGTATGGTTCCTAACTCCCCATAAGGCTGTTTTCCTCAGGGGTAAGGTTTCAAGCAGTTTTTCCTTGTCACTCAAATGCTGTGCATGTTTTATCGCTGTTCCTTTCCCTGTTTTTTCAAAGCATGCTCTGAGGCTGCAGCCAGTACGAGGAGGTGTATGTATCTGTCTGGCTGATTCCTTCTCTCTTCATCTCTTCATGACCTGACGTGCAACTGAGCATACTTTCCATTGCCTCTGCAGCTGGCTAAAGGAGCCTTTACAATGTGACAAGCAAAAGGGCTAAGACAAAGAACAGATGCTTTATATATTGTCTACATCAGCCACAAAGAGCTATTTCCAAAGCAAGGTGGCTGGCAGATTTCTCAGCTGGGCTGTTCTTGTTATTAGTAATCAGTTTTGTTCTTTGCTCTACTTAAAGAAATATCATTTGTCGCTCTGGGACTAAAAAAATAAATAAATAATAAATTTAAAAAAAAAAAAAAAAGACATTTTAAAGAAAACTGTTCACTTTTGCCACCTCCTGGCTGCTTCTGCAGCAAAGCATCAGAAAGGTGTGGCTGTGGCTGCCTCATGGCTGGCACCTGTTATTAAAATCGGAGTGCAAGGAGTGTTTTCTTTGCTTGTTTTGGTGTAATCTTTTTCAGTTTAGGTATGTGAAATATGGAATACTAATGGCCCTTCTGGACTGCGAGGCTCTGGTGGTTGTTGCATGTGTGTTAAACACAGTGAGTCCTTAAAGGAAGGGAGTTGGAGGTAGCTAGAAAAAGTACATATTGCACTATTTTCTAAGAATATTTGGAGAATTTACACTTTCTGAGCAAAGAGCACCATGTCTCTGGAATGGCTTTCTTCTCTTCCCTGGTCCATCCTTTGCAAAGGATTTTCTCTGCAGTTAACTCTTCTGATTGCTTAACTTTTACTATTTCTATTTCACTAATGTGTATTTACTATTTATTACTTCACCAGTGAATAGCATTCATCATTGCACTTGCAATAACAACCCCCTGCATACAAATACTGCTTGCTGTGCAGTACCCTGATAGCATGAACTATCTGGGATTAATTTTGGGCTAGTCTGCTCCAAACTAGGGGCAACAATACAGAGAGATGAGGGTTTAATAGAAGCCAAAGAATTGTTGGTACAGGGAGTAGAAATGTGCAGGATCCCTTAACACACCCTGGGCATCCTGCCACAAGGTGTCAATATTTCTGTTAATAATAATATATTAAATAAAAAGGGAACACCAGTGCTCTGTGTGTGTGTGTGTGATGGGGGGAACTCAACCTCTGCATTAAAAAATTACTATGATGAGGGGCATCTGAGAGCTGATATCTTTCTTAAATTGCTGCTGTGAGCTCACTCAAGTGGATCTGTCTGCAAATTTCTATTTGATGTGGCATGTCCACGTGGCAAGCACCAAAGGAGAAGGTGGACAGTACAAAAGCCCTAGAGGCTTTTCCAGATGTATCCTATCATGCTAGGTATACTAAGGGTGCTGATAGAGACAAATAGAAATGCTAAAAATTACCATGCAGTAACATAATGCTAAAAATTACCATGCAGTTTGCCTTTCTGTAGCTCTTTGCATCTGCAGTTTTATTAAAATGTCACTAGTGTACGCTTTGAAACCTCGGTTAGGCAATCTACAGTAGAGTCACTTTGTCACAGCGAGCACAATGAGACGTGTAGACCTGGAGAATCATCAGAGGAAGAAAGCTGCTTTTGCCTGGTACCTCCACTCCTCCTCCTCACTTCATCTTAAAGCTGGGAACGATGAGGTTGTTCTTGTACCTGCTCTTCCTAATGAGTGAGTCTTATCTCTGCATTTATTTTCCATGCATTAGAAAATAAAAGTCTTAAAAAGTCTTAATTAGAAAATAAAAGTCTTAATAAGTCTTTATTAGAAAAAGAAAAATATTAGTCTGGAAACAAAGTAATTTCTGGAGACTTGGATCACTCCCTTTGTGTGAGCCAATAAAACAATTCTTACGTAGGAAGTTCAGGATGTTTGGGACTTGTATGGAATAAAAGTCCTTAGTTTGTAATGTGGGTTTCTACTTTTTCGCATAAATCCATGTGTTTGGTTGGAGAGAGTTTTATAGTTCTCATCCTTAGTGGGAGAAAAGTGGCTGCGGGGTGAAATTCCACTCAAATTCAAAACAAGAAGCAATCTTTAGCCTTCTATAATTTTTTTATTTCTTTGGCTGTTTGCTCATCATGAAGTAGGTTGGTGCACTGTGGATTAAGCAGTGTGTGCTATCAGAGAGACTTCCTATGAGTTTTTGGCTTACCAATCTCCTTAATAAGTGCTCTAGAATAGGATTTTTTTTTACAAGAAAATTCAGAACCTTTCTGTGAGAATAAGAATGCATAAAGTAAGGTATAGGCATTAATTAGGAATATTTCCCGAGCCAGAGTCAGTATCCACAGTGTTCTGTCCTATAACCCTGGGGGGACAATTCTGTCATGAAGTCGTCTCTAGCTGCTTGTCCCAGGATGGGTGACACCCTTCTGGTGCTGCTCCGATAGCTCCAGCAATTGACAACTGCACTT